AATGACAACAACAACCCAGAGACCGTGAGTCTGATCGTTGAGGGAAGCGGTGATGGCGGGTCTCCAGTCTCACCGCCACCTGAGCCGCTTATCGAGTCAGGGAGCGGCCCCTGCATCTCAACGTCTCTACTGCCGGGGGATCCTGCACTGTGGGGGGCCGTTACGGAGCGGCTGCGGGAAGAAGCGGTTTCCCGAGGGCCTGCAGCTTTCCAGAACCGGGCCTCAAAGTATCCTGCATCGGTAAGGGAGTCCGGACTTGGAAGTCGAACACGCTCCCTCACCAACGATTTGCTTCACTGCCGGCTCCCAAACAATGAAATTGTGCCAAGGGAATGGCTTCTTTACTCGCCATCAACAGGATCAGTTTATTGTTATGCCTGCAAACTTCTGTCATCTCAAAAGCATGCATTTATCAGCGGATTCTGTGATTGGAAACATCCAGAGAGGGTCAGTGATCACGAAAAGAGTGCAGATCATAGACAAAACATGCTGTCTTTATTACACCGATCTAAATATGCATGCAGAGTGGACGCTTCTCTTGCCCGACAGTGCGAGTCAGAACAGCTGTACTGGAAAGAAGTCCTCAGACGTGTGGTGGCTGTCATTAAATTTTTGGGAGCGAGAGGACTGCCATTTCGAGGTGACAACGAACTGCTGGGCTCTGCGCACAATGGGAACTATTTGGGACTGCTTGAACTGATAGCGCAGTTTGACCCCTTTTTAAAGGAGCACCTTGAGAAACACAGCAATAAGGGTAGAGGTAAGCCATCTTACTTGTCATCAACGGTGTGTGAAGAATTTATATCATTGATGGGTGAAAAATGTAAGCAAGTGATTGCAAAGGAAATCAAAAATGCTAAATATTTCTCTGTAATCGTTGATTCAACACCAGATTTAGCACATGTAGATCAGCTCACATTTGTTTTTCGTTTTGTCAGTGCAGATGGCAGAGTAGTGGAAAGGTTCCTCGGGTTTGAGCCCATCCACAGCCACACAGGTGTCAGCCTAGCTGAATCTGTGATTGAAATGGTGCGTCGCTTGGGGTTGGACTTGTCAAACTGCCGTGGCCAAAGTTACGATAATGCGAGCAACATGTCTGGCAAATACAACGGGCTCCAGGCGCTCTTGAAAAAACAAAACCCGCTAATTCATTATACACCGTGTGCTGCCCATTCTCTGAACCTCGTAGGTGTTAACTGCGTTGATAATTGCTGTAAGGAGGTTAACTCTTTTTTTGAACTGCTGCAGTCTCTGTATGGATTTTGTAGTGCATCAACTCATCGCTGGAATACAGTTTTCAATGACAGCGAACATAACATTAAATACACTTTTAAATCTCTCAGCACCACCCGATGGAATTGCAGAGCACACTCCACAAAGGCTCTCAAAGAAAATTACGGGGCAATTAGAGAAGTTTTGGCTAAAATATCTTTAGACTGTGATGAGAAAACACAAACTAAACTCGAAGCTTCTGCATTGGTCGCAAAACTTGATAAGCTGGAGACGGTAATAATGACTGTGCTGTGGGACCGGGTACTGCATAGATTTAAGGCAACAAGTGACCAACTCCAAAAAAGCGATATGGATTTAGCTACTGCTCTTGGCCTTTTGCGCTCACTGCTTTCATATGTTGGTACTCTACGAGAACAGTTTCCAGAGCTCGAAGAATCAGCACGCGCGGTCAGTGTGACACAAAACTACCAGTTTGACGCTCAACGTGTGAGAAAAAGAAAGAGATTTGCAGATGAGTCTGCTGATGACAGCGAAGTAGCTTTTAATGACAGCGATTTAAAGTTGAAACATATTGCGTCATAATTGACCGCCTTTGTTCATGCCTATCCAAGCGCATAGAAGCCTACACACATGTGTGTGACCTCTTTGGGGTTTTGTTTGAGAGGGACTGTGACGATTGTGATGTGCGTGTAAGAGCTGCTAAACTGAGCTCCACTTATCCAACAGATCTGGATAGTTCCTTGTCAGATGAACTTATTCAGTTCAAGCACTTTGTGCAGTATGAAACTTCACCTGTACAGCAGCTGCAAGCTCTTGACAGACATGGACTTAAGACAACATTTCCGAATGTTTATGTTGCACTAAGACTGTTTTTAACCTTACCTGTATCTAACTGTGAGGGTGAGAGGTCATTTTCTGTTTTGAAACGGGTTAAAAATGAGCTGAGGACCACAATGTCTCAGACACGGCTCTCTGCACTTTCTCTCTTAGCCATTGAACATGAACTTGTTAGTGGCCTTGATTTCGAAGAGATCATACATCAGTTTGCACAGTCAAAGTCCAGAAAAAAGCCAGTATAAGATGCCAAATGAAAGCAAACATGCACTTCCTCATTATTTAAGATTCAAATTTTGTGTTTTGGCAGATTATATACCATTTATTTTATCTCGTCTTCTTCAGAGAAATTGTATTGTGTATTTAGTATTGTGTAGTGTATTTATGAAGCACTAAAATGTTTGACTGGTTAATTGTGCTATAGCATGTTGTTATATTTTAAAACAAGTTCAATGAGCAGAGGACCAAAATGTTGCTTGATCTGTTGTCTGTGGTCTTCTGTGATAGCTCTATCTATTCCATACATTTCTATTGGGAATAAGTGTTGTTAAATAAACAATGGTTTAAAAGTGGTTGCTTATCTATTCATTTTTTGTGAAAATGGAGGATACTTCCTTCCCTCTCAATGTAGTGGGTCAATGTTACCAGATTATACAGATGCTGATGTGTTTTGTTTTCATAGCATCATATGTGAGTGAATGTCTTTGATAGGGGACATAGTAGTGCATTCGTAGTTCTATGAGCTTTAAATATTTGTAAATGAAAATACACCTAATGACAGTTAGGATTTGAAGTATTGAGTATATTTACTGTATATTACAGTAATATATCCTATATATGACCATATTATGGTGATCCTGGGGTCGTGATGATGGGGCCCTTGAATATTGTTGCCCAGGGTACAACAAAGTGTTAATCTGGCCCTGCTTGCAGCTGCTGTACAGGTGAAGTTTCATACTGCACAAAGTGCTTGAACTGAATAAGTTCATCTGACAAGGAACTATCCAGATCTGTTGGATAAGTGGAGCTCAGTTTAGCAGCTCTTACACGCACATCACAATCGTCACAGTCCCTCTCAAACAAAACCCCAAAGAGGTCACACACATGTGTGTAGGCTTCTATGCGCTTGGATAGGCATGAACAAAGGCGGTCAATTATGACGCAATATGTTTCAACTTTAAATCGCTGTCATTAAAAGCTACTTCGCTGTCATCAGCAGACTCATCTGCAAATCTCTTTCTTTTTCTCACACGTTGAGCGTCAAACTGGTAGTTTTGTGTCACACTGACCGCGCGTGCTGATTCTTCGAGCTCTGGAAACTGTTCTCGTAGAGTACCAACATATGAAAGCAGTGAGCGCAAAAGGCCAAGAGCAGTAGCTAAATCCATATCGCTTTTTTGGAGTTGGTCACTTGTTGCCTTAAATCTATGCAGTACCCGGTCCCACAGCACAGTCATTATTACCGTCTCCAGCTTATCAAGTTTTGCGACCAATGCAGAAGCTTCGAGTTTAGTTTGTGTTTTCTCATCACAGTCTAAAGATATTTTGGCCAAAACTTCTCTAATTGCCCCGTAATTTTCTTTGAGAGCCTTTGTGGAGTGTGCTCTGCAATTCCATCGGGTGGTGCTGAGAGATTTAAAAGTGTATTTAATGTTATGTTTGCTGTCATTGAAAACTGTATTCCAGCGATGAGTTGATGCACTACAAAATCCATACAGAGACTGCAGCAGTTCAAAAAAAGAGTTAACCTCCTTACAGCAATTATCAACGCAGTTAACACCTACGAGGTTCAGAGAATGGGCAGCACACGGTGTATAATGAATTAGCGGGTTTTGTTTTTTCAAGAGCGCCTGGAGCCCGTTGTATTTGCCAGACATGTTGCTCGCATTATCGTAACTTTGGCCACGACAGTTTGACAAGTCCAACCCCAAGCGACGCACCATTTCAATCACAGATTCAGCTAGGCTGACACCTGTGTGGCTGTGGATGGGCTCAAACCCGAGGAACCTTTCCACTACTCTGCCATCTGCACTGACAAAACGAAAAACAAATGTGAGCTGATCTACATGTGCTAAATCTGGTGTTGAATCAACGATTACAGAGAAATATTTAGCATTTTTGATTTCCTTTGCAATCACTTGCTTACATTTTTCACCCATCAATGATATAAATTCTTCACACACCGTTGATGACAAGTAAGATGGCTTACCTCTACCCTTATTGCCGTGTTTCTCAAGGTGCTCCTTTAAAAAGGGGTCAAACTGCGCTATCAGTTCAAGCAGTCCCAAATAGTTCCCATTGTGCGCAGAGCCCAGCAGTTCGTTGTCACCTCGAAATGGCAGTCCTCTCGCTCCCAAAAATTTAATGACAGCCACCACACGTCTGAGGACTTCTTTCCAGTACAGCTGTTCTGACTCGCACTGTCGGGCAAGAGAAGCGTCCACTCTGCATGCATATTTAGATCGGTGCAATAAAGACAGCATGTTTTGTCTATGATCTGCACTCTTTTCGTGATCACTGACCCTCTCTGGATGTTTCCAATCACAGAATCCGCTGATAAATGCATGCTTTTGAGATGACAGAAGTTTGCAGGCATAACAATAAACTGATCCTGTTGATGGCGAGTAAAGAAGCCATTCCCTTGGCACAATTTCATTGTTTGGGAGCCGGCAGTGAAGCAAATCGTTGGTGAGGGAGCGTGTTCGACTTCCAAGTCCGGACTCCCTTACCGATGCAGGATACTTTGAGGCCCGGTTCTGGAAAGCTGCAGGCCCTCGGGAAACCGCTTCTTCCCGCAGCCGCTCCGTAACGGCCCCCCACAGTGCAGGATCCCCCGGCAGTAGAGACGTTGAGATGCAGGGGCCGCTCCCTGACTCGATAAGCGGCTCAGGTGGCGGTGAGACTGGAGACCCGCCATCACCGCTTCCCTCAACGATCAGACTCACGGTCTCTGGGTTGTTGTTGTCATTGACGTTGTTGCTTGAAGGCAACAGCCCGGAGAGCGAAAAGCCTGCAGTGTAGAAAAATCCTGGCTCGCTGAGTTATCCTCGTCGTTGATGGAAGTGGACTTAACAGAACTGTCTGCAACATTAACAGGAGTGAAGAAAGTACCTATTTTAGGTATATACTTTAAATTTTCTGCGTTTCTGATGTCCTTTTCCTTTTTTAATTTTCGCTTCGCGCTCCCGCTTAGCTTCTCCATCGTGTCTGATTTTTTTTTTTCGGTTGTAGCAACTAGCAACGCCTGACGTCACGTAACACGCTCGGGAGCGGGAGATTACAGTAACAGTATTTTGCTCGTGCCCTTGCTGTCTGGGCCCTTTAGATGGGCCGCCCATGACGGCCCTCCGTGGGCCCTGGGCCCAGACAGCAAGGCCCTTTAGATGGGCCACCCACGGAGGGCCCCTGGGCAATTGCCCAGTTGCCCGTATGGTTAATCCGGGCTTGCCCAGGAGAACAGTACAGCGTGAGGGAGGGAGGCTCTGTCCTGGTCCAGTGTGTCTTCAACACCTCCGGGACCAGGAGGATGTTCTGCAGACCGGACCAGGTGACAGATAACAGACGTGACCAGCAGACAGAGAACAGACGTGACCAGCAGACAGAGAACAGACGTGACCAGGTGAGAGAGAACAGACGTGACCAGGTGACAGAGAACAGACGTGACCAGGTGACAGAGAACAGACGTGACCAGGTGACAGAGAACAGACGTGACCAGGTGACAGAGAACAGACGTGACCAGGTGAGAGAGAACAGACGTGACCAGGTTACGGAGAACAGACGTGATCAGGTGACAGAGAGCAGACGTGACCAGGTGACAGAGAACAGACGTGACCAGGTGACAGAGAACAGACGTGACCAGGTGACAGAGAACAGACGTGACCAGGTGACAGAGAACAGACGTGACCAGGTGACAGAGAACAGACGTGACCATGTGGCAGAGAACAGACGTGACCATGTGGCAGAGGGCAGCTGTGGCCATGTCTTGGTGGAGACTGGCAGCTATCACAAAAACGGTGACAGATACAGCCTCAAGTACAAGAAAGGATCCAAAAGCTCCTACTTCCTGGATGTTACCATAAAGGACGTGCGCAGTGGGGACTCTGGGCGGTACCTGTGTGTGCTGGAGAAGGCCGGGCGTCAAGAGAGCGTTCCCGTCTATATTCAAGTTTTACTAGGTGAGTTTGACCAGGTGAGTTTTACCATGTGAGTTTGACCATGTGAGTTTGACCAGGTGAGTTTGACCAGGTGAGTTTGACCATGTGAGTTTGGCCGGGTGAGTTTGACCAGGTGAGTTTTACCATGTTAGTTTGACCAAGTGAGTTTTACCAGGTGAGTTTTACCAAGTTAGTTTGACCAGGTGAGTTTTACCAGGTGAGTTTTACCAGGTGATTTTGACCAGGTGATTTTGTCCAGGTTAGTCTGACCAGGTGAGTTTTACCAGGTGAGTCTACCAGGTGAGTTTTACCAGGTGAGTTGACCAGGTGAGTCTTACAGCAGGCCCACACACAGGCTGCACACAGAGCTCTGATAACTGTCTCTGTTTCCTCCTCAGCCGAGGCCTCCACAGACTCGGGCCTCACTTCTCCCAAGGCTCCGCACCAGAACCAGACGCCTCTGCTTTATGGTACTATGTGTGCACTAAATGTAAAAAGTTAATTTTGTCTTTGTATGTGAAAGGCTTAGAACAGGGGTGTCACACTCATGTTGGTCAGGGGCCGAATAAAAGACTAGGAACTGGTTGGGGCCCAAAGAACAGAAGGATTTTATTTTCTTGTGATAGATTTTCACTAAAATGTGTTTATTGTTTAGATTTAACCAAAACTGGATCAATTGTTTTTATATTTAACTCTGTACATTCTTATGATGTGTATCTGTGTCTCTCTGTGTGTGACTCTGTGTGTGTGTCTCTGTGTGTGTATCTGTGTGTCTTTGTGTGTGTCTCTGTGTGACTCTGGATGTGTCTCTCTGTGCGTCTCTGTGTGTGACTCTGTGTATCTCTCTTTGTGTCTCTGTGTTTCTGTGTGTGTCTGTGTGTGTGTCTCTCTGTGTATCTCTGTGTGTGTCTCTGTGTCATCAGTTGTTGTGGGTCTGAGTTTTGCAGCTGCCGTTGTTTTCTCAGTGACTTCTTCAGTTCTGTGCAGCCGCAGGAGAATCGGCCGCTCCACAGGTACAACTGCTCCCACTGACCATGTGACCAGTGACCATGTGACCACTGACCATGTGACCACTGACCATGTGACCAGTGATCAATTGACCTCTGTCATCGGAATCATGATCTGTCACTGTGATCCACAGACACTGCTGAGGCCGCAGACCCAGAGGTGAGTGAGGTGAGAGAGAGACCAAAGAGAGACCAAAGAGAGACCAGAGAGAGAGGCCAGATAGAGAGACCAGAGAGGCCAGAGAGAAACCAGAGAGAGGCCAGAGAGAGAGACCAGAGAGGCCAGAGAGAGATCAGAGACACCAGAGAGAGAGACCCGAGAGAGAAACCAGAGAGAGACCATAGAGAGAGACCAGAGAGAGACCAGAGAGGTCAGAGAGAGACCACAGAGAGACCAGAAAGAGAGCAGAGAGAGACCAGAGAGAGACACAAAGTTTCTTCTGACTATTGCAGGTTTTTTTCAGAAAGTAACCCTATAAAGAAGAGACCACAGTAAATGTAACAAGCTCAAAATGTCTAGTTTTACCTCAAATATGATGAAGAACTTATATTTATTCTTCATTATCGTCAACAAACGCTCAAGTTTATTTTTCCCTCATTCAAGAACTTTATCAATATTTCCAGTAAAACAAAATGTCATTGATTTGCTTAGATTTTTTAAATTTTCTCGACTGTGAATAGAACATCAGTCTGTGGTGTTTTCAGTGCAGAGTCTATGAAGAGATTCCCTGTGACAGCGGACAGAGCACAGCGCCCCCTGCAGCCTCCGCAGAGAGCAGCACGTACAGTCTGTGCTCTGCTCCCTCTGCAGCTCCACAGGTCAGACCCACGAGGAGTTACTGACAGAGTGAAGTGCCAGTGTGTGAAGTTTTGATTTTGACCATAGAATTGCACCTGCACACGTCAAAAGCTGTAACCGTGGCGTACAAAGGGTGTATTATATTATTGATTTGTTTGTCACGAGAACACCTAAAGCGGTCAATTTGACGGCTTTTCAGTTTGGAAGTGTAATTACTCAAAACCATGTACAGGTTTTGGCTTCAGAACTTTCTGTTTCTAAATGTATCTTATTTCTATGTCATAGGTTTAAGAATATATCTTGGTCCTGGTCTTTGACAGGTCCTGGACTGGTCCTGGACTGGCTTTTGACTGTAGAAAGTGCTGTTTACTATAGCAACACAGTGTTTACTTGCAGAACTTAGTTAGTTTTGCTATATTTTTAACATGCTAATGATAAAACCTTGATTTTAAGAATAATTAACTCCTGAAACTGTCGAAGTTGATTAATTTGAAGGGGAGCCGTCACAATGACTCTGAGTTCTAGTAGTTTCAGAATTGTGGGAGTCTCAGTGGCCTCTGTGTATGGCCTGGGAGAGTTCTCATTGGTCCACAGAGCACAACATAGAACAGGAAGTAAAACCATAAACCAACACATATCGTTTTGATGGTCTTGTAAATATAGATCTTTCACTTTGGCGTCTCAGCCTTCCACCACTGATCCTGATGACCCGTGTTCTTCCATCTGTGTTTTCTGTCATGTTCAGACTGAGGTCATGTGTGCAACAGTCTCATACTCTGAAGTGGATCTATCTTCATGCAACAGCGCCCCCCGGTGTCCACCTGAAGACCACGTTCTGTACTCCACAGTCTCTTTACCCCCAGCACACAATCTTTAACTGCATTCAACTCAGAAACTATTCAACTCCTTTATCAGAAATTTTGCAAAGCTACAGCCTCCTGCTTCTCTATTGTCTTCTGCAAAACCTGTATTTAAATTAAAATAAAAACACAAAAATATCTCATAGTCATACGTTTTCAGGGTCTTTTCTAAAACACGAAATACTGAACTTAGACTGGTTTGCACTGATTGTTGTTGAGATGTTTCTCCAACGTGTCTGGAGAAAAACTGTGGTCGATTCTACGGCTTTAACTTCATTTGGAAATGGACAAACGTCTGCATTAAAGGTGCTACAGCCGACTGGGACTGTCAGACCTGTGAGGACCTGTGAGGACCTGTGAGGACCTGTGAGGACCTGTGAGGACCTGTGAGGACCAGAGGAGGGCCTTGGTCTGCGTCGGAAAGAGAGAGAGAGACATAGAGAGAGACAGAGTGAGAGAGAGGGAGAGAGAGAGAGGGAGGGAGAGAGAGAGAGAGAGACAGAGAGATATAAAAAGAGAGAGACACAGAGATAGAGACATAGAGAGAGAGAGAGACACAGAGACAGAGAGAGAGAGATAGAGAGGGACAGAGAGATAGAGACAAACATAGAGAGATAGATATACATGTATATAGAGAGAGAGACATAGAGACAGAGAGAGAGATAGATAGAGAGAAAGAGAGATAGAGAGAGACAGACAGAGATAGAGATAGACAGAGATAGAGACAAATTGTCTGGTGTGTGTGTGTGTGGGGGGGGGGGGGGGGGGGGACGGTTGGTTGGTGCTGGGAGGGACCGATGGCACAGACTGGTTGCTTCGCTTAAGTCAGTGTGCCCCAGGGCAGCTGTGGCCACATGAATAATCAAGTGTCTTTGAGGGTCCAGAAAAAGCAATGTGTAAAACCAATGCATTATTATTATTCAAAACAAAATGGCGACGGCAGAAGCTCGTGCCCGGGTCACGGTGACTCTCTCTTCACGTTTTAGGCTGTTCTTAAATCCACCGTTTACTGCGGTGTCTGAGGCGCGTGACCAGGAAAGTGTGAGGAGAGTTTTAAGGAACAGGAAACGTGAGTCTGCATCCGTCAGCGATTTACCTCACGAGACAAAGACACACAACAGACTGGACACAGACTGGACACAGACTGGACACAGACTGGACACAGACTGGACACAGACTGGACACAGACTGGACACAGACATGAGAGTCCAGGCCGTCACGCTGCTGCTGCTGCTGCTCGGTAAAGTCTCTCTCCTTATGTCTTTGATTCTGTCTGTTTGGCTTTTTGCCTTTTGACTTTGTCCATTTAGTTTTGTTTTGTCTTTGATTGTATCTGTTTTTCGTCTTGTTTTCGTTTGTCTTATCATGTTTTATGTTGTAAGAAATTCATAAAAAAGAACTCTCTCTGGTCTCTCTCTGGTCTCTCTTTTGTCTCTCTCTCTTGTCTCTCTCTAGTCTCTCTGGTCTCTCTCTCTTGTCTCTCTCTAGACTCTCTGGTCTCTCTGGTCTCTCTCTGGTCTCTCTCTCTTGTCTCTCTCTAGACTCTCTGGTCTCTTTCTGGTCTCTCTCTCTTGTCTCTCTCTAGACTCTCTGGTCTCTCTGGTCTCTCTCTGGTCTCTCTCTCTTGTCTCTCTCTAGACTCTCTGGTCTCTCTCTGGTCTCTCTGGTCTCTCTCTCTGGTCTCTCTCTACTCCTCATTAATCAAACCTTTTCTTCTGCAGTCCTCAGCTGTGGCCCTTGCACCAGAGCGGCCAAAGTGATCGAGGCCGGAGAGGGAGAAGACCTTGAGTTCAAATGCTCCTTCTACGCCTCGGGACGGTGGAAGATGTTCTGCAGGAACCGCTGTGAGCTGGTGGAAGATTACTTGGTGCTGTCCCATGTGGACGTGGAGCAGAACGGCAGGTTCAAGATCGAGTTCCAGAAGCGGCTAACGTTCCCCAACACGCTCTACGTTAGCATCCGGGACGTGCGGCGCTCCGACGCCGGATCCTACAGCTGCGGTCTGGCCAAGTGGGAGGACCGGAGCGTCATTGAGAGCCACCTGCAGGACGTCATCATCTATGTCACGAGCGGTGGGTTTTTCTTTTACTAATTTGCAACAACAAAAACTGTTACAGCTGCAAGCGGCTGCAAAGGGCCTCGCTGTATCACCCCAATGACCTATACCAGAGTAAATGTTCATTCATAAATATTATTCATACAGTACCTGCAGGTGAAAGCCAGATCCAGTCAAACCCATGAGCAACTTTCTGGTCTATCTTTCTCTGGTCTCTCTCTGGTCTCTCTCTGGTTTCTCTCTGGTCTCGCTCTGGTCTCTCCCCAGTCTTTTGCTCTGGTCTCTCTCTAGTCTCTGTCATTGTTCTCTCTCTGGACTCTCTGGTCTCTTTCTAGTCTCTCTGTCCTTACACCCTCTAAAATGCAGAATTTCTGGGCATATCTTTGCCAGATGAAAACCAGATCCAGTCAGACCTCTGAAGCCAAGCAGGGCAGGACCTGGTTAGTATTGTGATGGGAGACCTCTGCAAACACCAGGTGCCACAGTCACATTGAAATGAGTCTGGTGTGAGTGGTTGGTGGTGGTGGGAGCGGCTGATGGCACAGACTGGTTGCCTCGCTTCTGTCAGTGTGCCTCAGGGCAGCTGTGGCTACAGCACTAATTTATCACCACAGTGTGTTTGGAGAAAGAATATTGACATGAAAATACTTTGAGCAGTAAAAGGATGGCAGCTTGTTTGCCACCTCCCGACTCAGAAATGGACAAAGGGGTAGAAGATGGATGGATAGAACCCAGACGTAAAATATGTTTAAAAAATATTTGTTAACAAAAATGATCGGTGCTATTTTTAAAAAGCAGCAATGACCCAATTTGGCAAAGTAGCTTATACGTTTTTTTGGTTTCCAAAACGTGACAAAAAGTCAGACTTTTTTTGCCATAATCTTTGAACTTCATGTTGCATCTTTGTAACCGAGGGTGCTACAGGGTTAAAGATAGTGAGCAAGTCCCAATGATCAACCTCTGGTGTCTCCAGGGAGCTCGGAAGACACCAGAGCAGTCCCCATCTCCAGTGCATCGCAGAAGAGCCACAGCACCTCCTCAGGTAGACACCAACTGTACAACAACCGTACTCTCTCTGGTCTCTCTCTTGTCTCTCTAGTTTATCTCCAGCCTCTCTCTGGTCTCTCTCTCTCTAGTCTCGCTCTCTGGTATCTCTCTCTGGTCTCTCTGTAGTCTCTCTCTCATTAGTTTCTCTCTAGTCTCTCTCTCTGGTCTCTCTCTCTAGTCTCTCTCATTAGTTTCTCTCTTTGGTCTTTCTCTCTGGTCTCTCTCTAGTTTCTCTCTGGTCTCTCTCTGGTTTCTCTCTCTAGTCTCTCTCTGGTCTCTCTGTAGTCTCTCTCTCATTAGTTTCTCTCTTTAGTCTCTCTCTGGTTTCTCTCTCTAGTCTCTCTCTCTTGTCTCTTCCTCTAGTCTCTCTCTCTGGTCTCTCTCTGGTTTCTCTCTCTAGTCTCTCTCTCTCTGGTCTCTCTGTAGTCTCTCTCTCATTAGTTTCTCTCTTTAGTCTCTCTCTGGTGGTGTCTCTCTAGTCTCTCTTGGTTTCTCTCTCTAGTCTCTCTCTCTTGTCTCTTCCTCTAGTCTCTCTCTGGTCTCTGTCTGGTCTCTCTGGTCTCTCTCTGGTCTCTCTCTGGTTTATCTCTCTAGTCTCTCTCTCTGGTCTCGCTCTCTTGTCTCTCTCTCTGGTCTCTCTCTAGTCCCTCTCTCTTATGTCTCTCTCTAATCTCTCTCTCTCTAGTCTCTTTCTCCTCTGGTCTCTCTCTCTAGTCTCTCTCTGGTCTCTCTGTAGTCTCTCTCTCATTAGTTTATCTCTAGTCTCTCTCTCTGGTCTCTCTCTCTGGTCTCTCTCTCTAGTCTCTCTCTGGTCTCTATGTAGTGTCTCTCTCATTAGTTTCTCTCTTTAGTCTCTGTCTGGTTTCTCTCTCTAGTCTCTCTCTCTGGTCTCTCTCTGGTTTCTCTCTCTAGTCTCTCTCTCTGGTCTCTCTCTCTTGTCTCTCTTTCTCTGGTTTCTCTCCAGTCTCTCTCTAGTCTCTCTCCCTCTGGTCTCTTTCTAGTCTCTCTCTCATTAGTTTCTCTCTTTAGTCTCTCTCTGGTTTCTCTCTCTAGTCTCTCTCTCTTGTCTCTTCCTCTAGTCTCTCTCTCTGGTCTCTGTCTGGTCTCTCTCTGGTCTCTCTCTAGTCTCTCTCTGGTCTCGCTCTCTTGTCTCTCTCTTTAGTCTCTCTCTGGTTTCTCTCTCTAGTCTCTCTCTCTGGTCTCTCTCTCTTGTCTCTTTCTCTGGTCTCTCTCTAGTCTCTCTCTCTCTGGTCTCTCTTTGGTCTCTCTCTCTAGTCTCTCTCTGTAGTCTCTCTCTGGTCTCTCTCTCTAGTCTCTCTCTGTAGTCTCTCTCTGGTCTCTCTCTAGTCTCTCTCTCTCTGGTCTCTCTTTGGTGTCTCTCTCTAGTCTCTCTCTCTTGTCTCTCTCTAGTCTCTCTCTGGTCTCTCTCAGGTCTCTCTCTCTCTTTTCTCTCTTTCTAGTCTCTCTCTGGTCTCTCTCTCTGTTCTCCCTCTGGTCTCTCTCTCTCTCTGGTCTCTCTTTCTAGTCTCTCTCTGGTCTCTCTCTCTGGTCTCTCTCTGGTCTCTCTCTATTTTCTCTCTCTAGTCTCTCTCTCTGTCCATGAATGTGGTTAAATGTGGAGAGTTGCAGAGTTGGGACTAAACCCCAGACCACATGGTTGGGTTGTCTGCATCTGTCTTGGTCAGGTGTGGGGCTGAGTGTAGGAGTGACCGTGGGGGTTCTGCTGGTCCTGACCCTGATCCTCACCCTTCTGTATTGGAAGAGGAGAACCAGCACAGCCACAGGTGACCAGCACACCTCACACGGACACATGGTAGCCTCATTCCCACTGAGAAAAAACACTGGATCCTAAATGTGTCTGAGTTTCAATAATGTTCAGTGTTTTGTGCCATCAACTCTGTCAACAATTGATCCATCTTCCACTTTTCACTTTTTAGATGAGAGTCGGTGGTCTCTCTCTGGGGTCTGTCTTTGGTCTCTTTCTGGTCTCTCTCTCTGGTCTCATTCTGGTCTCACTGGTCTCTCTCTCTGGTCTATCTCTGGTCCCTCACTGGTCTCTCTCTGGTCTATCTCTGGTCCCTCACTGGTCTCTCTCTGGTCTTTCTGGTCTCTCTCTCTATTCTCTCTGGTCTCTCCCTGGTATCTCTCTTTGGTCTCTCTCTATGGTCTCTCTCTGGTGTCTCTCTCTGATCTTTATCTCTCTCTTGGGTCTCTCTGGTCTCTCTCTCTGGTCTCTCTCTCTGATCTCTCTCTCTCTGATCTCTCTCTCTGGTCTCTCTCTCTCTGATCTCTCTCTCTCTGGTCTCTCTCTCTCTGATCTCTCTCTTTGATCTCTCTCTCTGGTCTCTCTCTCTGGTCTCTCTCTCTGGTCTCTCTCTCTGGTCTCTCTCTCTGGCCTCTCTCTCTTCAGCAGACAAAGGGGTAGAGTGATGATGTGAGTGTCTGTTTGTGTGCACAGGGCCTCTGCAGAGTCCAGGGCCGTCTCACATCCTGCAGGTAACTTTCTCACAGCTGATTGGACAGATCCACAGAATCATTTGAATAATGAGGAGGAGGGTGTGGGGTCAGGGAGGGTCTTGGGCCTGTGTCTGTGTGAAAAGGCATCGATGTGTCTTGCTGTTGGTGTTATTGTGTGTGTGTGTGGGTGTGGGTGTATGTGTGTACGAATGTGGGTGTGTGTGTGTATCTATAGCTCCAATATGATGAGACTAATAGATTGTTGTGTTGTTTTTCCAGGTCGCAGACGGCTCCAGTTTCCCATTGAAATGAATGAACACTGTTTGTTTTATGTTGTGCATCCTATTGCATTGTATACAGTATTTGAGCTTGTGTGTGTGTGTGTGTGTGTGTGTGTGTGTGTGTGTGTGTGTGTGTGTGTCTGACTGTGTGAGTGAGTGTGACTGTGTTGTGTTACTGTGTGTGTGTCTGGGCTATATGGATAAGTATGTGTGTGCATGTAAGACTGTGCGTGTGTCTGAGTGTTTGTGTGTGTGTACAGGTGTGTGTGTCTACATGTGTGTCTGTACGTCTGGTCTACGTGAATAAATATGTGTGTATGTGTATGACTGTGTTTGTGTGTGTGTGTGTGTATGTCTGTCTGGGTATGTGTGTGCGTGTGTATGTCTGTCTGGGTATGTGTGTGTTTGTGTGTGACTGTGTGTGTATGTGGGTGTTCGTGTACATGTGTGTGACTGTGTGTGTATGAAACAGTCTCGTACTTGATTGTGTTGTAGATTTTCAGCTGATCTTCTACATTGATACTACAGAAATGTCACCAAGATAAAACCAGGAGTGTGTAGCAGCTGGACTGTGGGTTGTGTGTTTGAATCCTGTGTGATTGTATCTTTGTGTTATTCCTGAGAAACACTTGGATTGTTGTGTTTCATGAATCCATCTTTATGGAACTTTTTCAATAAATCACTCTTGGTAAAATTGCTTTTGCTTTAGATGCTTTGTTTTTCTGTTGACCACAAGAGGAAGACAGTGTGTGTGTGTGTGTGTGTGTGGGTGAGTTAGTGTGGGTGTGTGTGTCTATGTATGTATATGCGTGTGTGTGTCTATATATGTGTGTGTATGTGCGTGTGTGTGCATATGTGTGTGTATGTGTGTGTATATGTGCGTGTGTGTACATATGTGTGTGTGTGACTGTGTATGACTGCGTGTGTATTTTGTGTGTTTGTGTTACCGTGTGTATGACTGCGTGTGTATTTTGTGTGTGTGTGTGGTGTGTGTATTTAGTGTGTGTGATTTTTCTTCATGTCTTTATTATAGTGAATGTTTTACACAGTTTACTTTTTCTTTCTTTCGAAACAGCAAAACTCGTGTGTTTTCTGGAATTTGACGTCAAACTGGGGGCGGTCTGTCTCTGTGAGCAATGATTTCATTGGTCAAGCCTCAAACAACAGAAAGATATTTATTGGATGATTAGAACAATGAAAAAAACAGATTGATTTCACTGATTTCACTGATTTCACATAAAATCAAATCTAAAATAAAGAAATCTGTCGGAAGGAAGTGAACGAAGGATCCAAAAAAAAAAGTCCAGGTCTCTGGTCTCTCTCTCCGGTCTCTCTCTGGTCTCTCTCTCTCTCTCTCTGGTCTGTCTGGTTTTGTAAAGTCTTATGAGTTAACTCCTGTTGTGATTTCAGGCCATACAAGAATACATTGAATTGAAATTAATGTAATTGAATTTAATGCTTTACTGATAAACTTGCCTTTTATGGCAGAAACAATTGCAGAAAATCACTGACACATGACCGGAAAAACAAAATCCTCCCCTTCACACCATGACTAGAGATCATTGGGGGCCATCATTTGGGCCATGTCTTAGTAGAGCCTTTATGGTTAAAGCCCTTGAGCATGAACCGAGCCTGGAGTCCTGGGACCACGACGGTACCGGTGCAATACTCGTAAGTCTCGGCCTCTCCAGATCGGGATCCTCTTCCAAACTTGGTCACGTACTGCCACTGGTCAGCCATGTATTGACGGTGTTCATCCCATCTCGACCTGTAGAGTCCAACCCACGCCTGAGCAAAGTTGGTCTTCCAGTCGTCACAGTTCTCGATGTAGAGGCGAAAACAGCTGTAGCCGTTTCTGACAAAGAGCTGGAGTCGGGCGTAGTTCGTGACTCGAACCGGGTCTGGATTCAGGAATTCTGGACCTCTGCAGATCTCGTCCAACACGGCAAACCAACCAAAACCGGATTTGAATTTCTGCAGCCTGACCTGAAGCCCCTCGTCCAACCCCTTCCAGGTTTGCTCGCTGCCCTTGCTCGTTGTTATTGGTTGAATTACGCGCGGGGTTTGGTCCTTATCGTTTTCGAAGACCAGACGGCTGCACCCTGCTTGATGACGTCTCGAGGAACATTCTCCCAACGAATTGTGACGTACCCTCCGTCTGCTGAGACCGCTTCAACGTAAACGTCTTGCAACTCACACATTCTCCACCCGTAAATCGGTTCACTACTTCCATAACTGCGCTTCGTCCTCCTATTGAAGAGGAAGACGACCAGCCTTATCAGCAGCCCCAGTGAGGCCTTGTATCTCGTCCACTGGTTTACCACGTTGTTTAGCTGGTTGTTGTTGATGTTTTGGTCGTAGCGGTCCCTAAGCGCCTTGAGTCCCTTGAGGTCCATGCCGAAATGGAACTCGTGTAGGTCCATCAGGAGCTGGGGGCTGATTTCAAAGGTGTGTTTTTTATCGTACGCAGGGCCATGCTGGTAGAGAGGAAAATGTTGGCTGAGATACACTTTCAGGATACGGTTATTATTGTCCAAGCAAACAATAAGTCTCCCTTTGTTGTCCATGCGAATGTGACCAATTGGATCAGTGAAATACGGAGGACATTGCCTGCTTCCACTGCACTGCTTGTATGTGACGCTGCCTAGACTGTAAAACCGACATCCTCTAGGGGCAGGGTCTAATAATTCCTCTTTGTTCCCGTAGTAATGAGACCCAAAGTCTGCAGTTGGATCGAAAGACGGAAGTGGACGGATTTTGTTGTTGCTGTCGACGTAGACTTTGCTGGCGAACAGGTGGAGCAGGAGGAGGCTGTGCACACGGAGGTCCGGCAGCGAGGCGTACACACGTCTCAGATCCACTGTGGAGTTGAGAGCGAGATAACTCTGACAGCCCACTGCTGCCAGAGCGAGCAGGCAGCAGACCAGGAGCACGCTGCAGGTCTTCATGGTTCTGTGGAGAAGGGAACATTATAGATACACACAAAGGTATTTGGTCATCACGAGCAGAGCAGTGATGGTTTATGTCTGTCTTCTGTGTATTTTCAATGTAGCAGCTGTGAGTCCAAGATATGAAGATAATTTTGTGTTTTTACTATCAACACTTCCTATTGCTTTTGAACTGTATAAACCATTACAAAAAACATATTCGGTGTGAATAAATTCAATGTTTTAAAATCCAGTGTTTAAAAATTCAGTATCACAAAATTCTAAATACAAAAATTCAGATTCCAAATTTTCAATTTCATATAAAAAAATCAGTGTCAAAGAAATCAATATTAAAAAATTCAGTGTCAAAAAATTCATATTTAAAAATTCAGTATAAAAGAACTCAGTGTAAAAAAATTGAACATTATTTAAATGTGAGCGGCTCACAGCCGCTAACAACCACAGCGGCCGCAGCTGCCCCCGGGGTGTGCCCCGGGAAGGCGGACTTCAGTTCATAGACTGTAGCCCCGCGGTCACGCGCGTATTCTTTTAAAACTTTAATTCCCAAAGACCTGCTCTGTCTCCATCTCACACACGCATGTGTACGCGGCATTCTGAGTGATAATATGGATACCTGGGCGGGTCATTTGGACATGCGTTAATTTTTTTTTCACGCGTAAATGACAAATGTAATCAACGTGAGTTAACGCGATAATTTTGACAGCCCTAATAAAAACACAAAATAACCTTCATACAAGACACATTGGTTACACTTTATAATAACTACATCTTATTTAGGCTTAATAAATGTTGAAATAACAATTAATTAAGTGTCACCAACACTTAATAACTACTTAAAGGTGCAGTAAGCGCTTTTGTTAGCTTAGCCGTAGCACCAACTAGAAACCACTCCCCCCTCCCCTCCCCTCGCCACAAAACCAAACATCCAGCATTTGTCACAACAGGGAGAGTGGGCGGTAAACGTGAAATTGGCATTTTTTCTTCTGCCATTTTAGGTTTTAGAAAATCCGATAACTCCGGTGCACTCGTGAGAAACAGGAAGAGGGTGAAGGGGGTAAAGGCATCCCATTGGTTCATTGGGGATGAACGAATCCCATTGGTTTATTTTTATCGGTCCGCTCCAAAATATTGTAATAAACTTTGGGAGACTACAGGCATCTGGTAAATTCCAATACAATTTGAAAACACTTGATACTTTTAGGGCTTAGGGACGTTTTCCCACAATATTAAAGATATGTGTCTGGAAAAAATCACAGACTGCCTCTTTAACTACTACAGTTAATAAATGCTTAGGGTTAGGGTTATTGACTGTAGTAGTTAAGTAGTTATTAAGTGTTATTTCAACATTGCCTAAATAATATGTAGTTATTATAAAGTGTTACCAACAAATTTCCTACAGGACATAAAAAAATTATCTTGAATCTTGGTTCTTCTCTAGGAGACAATAGTGAGTTTGCGATATTGTTTTCTTGACATGTTTCGACGGCAAACTGACCGTATTCTGAGTCAGGACTAACCGTGCTCTGGAACAGTCTTCCTGAAAGTGTGAGACAGGCTTCTTGAAGTTTGAAGTTTAATTTATTAAGTACATTTATTTAAGGCTGTTGCATTAAAAAGATTTAGCACCAGCTTCTTTCCACCTCTGGTCCTTGACAATACAATCAAAACACTCGCATAATAATATACAGTACAGTGCATACAACTAAGACCAGTCCGAGACTAATAAGTTCCTAAGTTCCATTTTCATTGTTGCAGCGCACAGACAGGACAGTAGTAGGAGACACAGGGAGTTGTGTGTCTTAGCTAAATGCTTCAACAAGTTGTGGTCAATCAAATCACACAAGATACATTAAAATCATTAGTAATCACAGTACATTAAAAAGAGTAAATATAAACTCCTCAACTGTTTAAACCTGGATTTGACATTTTCAGAGAAGAAGCCTGTCTCGTATTTTCAGGAAGACTTTTCTAGATTTTAGCATAAACCTGAAATGCTCCCAGCTCTGAATTGAGTGGTTTTTGTCTTCTTTTGAGTCCATTGGGGCAAAGCTGTTTAGTCTTTTTTCAAGAACGTTTTTAAGATGATTTTTGTTTAGGAATTTCTGATTTATTTCCCATGTTTTGTTGCAGTGTTACGCTCACCCAGAGTGAAGACGATTCCACCCAAACAGATTCACAACCAAAGCTGGAGCTGGAACATCTGAAGACCACTTATGAAGCTGTAGGAGGGACTTTCAAGAAGAGGGAATGTTAAAAGATATTATAGAGAAGTGTAAGAACAGAGCATAAAGAAATAAAAAAAATACAGAGAAGCAGAAGTGAAACCTCCACCGTCAGCTTCTGATTGGCTGAGAGAGACTAGAAAGAGACCAGAGAGAGACCAAAAAGAGACCAGAGAGAGACCAGAGAGAGACCAGAGAGAGAGGGTTAGAGACTTTAGGACTGAGGAGAGAGCAGAGAGAGAGAGTACATTTTTCATCACTTCATGCGTGTTAAAGTCAGAAGTGTTTTTCTAATCTATCTAAAATCATCAGATTGTCTGCCACAAAACTGATTATAGAGGTCGGGGTGCAGGGGGCGGGGTGCAGAGGGCAGGGTGCAGAGGGCAGGGTGCAGAGGGCAGGGTGCAGAGGGCAGGGTGCAGAGAGCGGGGTGCAGGGGGCGGGGTGCAGGGGGCGGGGTGCATGGGGGCGGGGTGTAGGGGGCGGGGTGCAGAGAGCGGGGTGCAGAGGGTGTGGTACTTGTGGAACTGGGCCGCCTGCTGCTGGTTGGTGCTGGACTGGGAGCCGTCCTTGTAAGTAAGTAAGTAAGTAATCTTTATTTATATACCGCCTTTCACAGACCAGAGTCACAAAGCGGTTTACAATTGTTATTTTTGGGCATTAGTCTCTCACTCCACACAGAGATGGGAGCGGGGACTTCTCGTCTGCGTCTGTCTCACTGTCCTCAGACTCGTCAATAAGGGCCGAGCCTGAACCCTGAGGACCGTGCCTGAACCCTGAGGACCGTGCCTGAACCCTGAGGACCGTGCCTGAACCCTGAGGACCGTGCCTGAACCCTGAAGACCGAGCCTGAACCCTGAAGACCGAGCCTGAACCCTGAAGACCGAGGCTGAAACCTGAAGACCGAGCCTGAACCCTGAAGACCGAGCCTGAACCCTGAGGACCGAGCCTTTGTTGACTATATATTTTTTTTCTTATTCACGTTTTGAAATCTCATCCTTTCCTTTCACTGGATCATTTCTGATAAATAGCTGTGCACTTTTACAAACAGCTCAATCCTAGTATCAATCCATCTTTATTATTCGACCCTCCTCGGTGGTCTCCCTTCCAATCATCTTCAAAAACTGCTATACATTCAGGAGTCACCCACAGCCGCTCCAGAGACCACATCACCCCTGTCCTCAAACAACTCCACTGGCTCCCCGTCCCATACCTTTTTACCTATTTATTTATTTATTCATATCAAGCTGTCCTCTTTCAAATCTGTCCTTGTTTGTCCAAAAGAATGCTATATAATTACAATGTATTATTATTATTATTATTCTTACACCGGTCTATATTATGAGAGTCTAACAGAAGTCTTTCCTTTCACCGGGTCATTTCTGATAAATAGGTGTGCCCTTTAAACAAACAGGTCACACCTTTTTTCATTCCATCAGTGCTATCTGCTGCTGCTGCTGATGATGATGATGAGTGCATGAAGTAAGTATGACAGAGATGGAAACCTAAAGTCAAAACCAAAACCAAAACTGGTCACCTGGAGCATGTATAAAAACCACAGGTCTCTTCAGGAGTAAACATTCCCCGATCGAGTCCGAGTCTGCAGAGATGTCCAGCCTCCAGGTCTCTGCCGTCCTGCTCTGTCTGCTCGGCCTCAGCTGTGCCGCCTTCGACCCCGACAGAACGGTAAATTATTTTTTTGTTTTGTGTGTCCATGTCATCATAATACACACATACATCATATTTATTGATTATGAACAAACGGGACAGAAGGAAAATCACCTGTCACCAATCTCATATCAAATAAGTAGATTTTTGTTTGTTTTGTATATTGTATCTTGTATTTTTTGTATGAAATGTATAGGGTTGAAATCTATAATCCTTATGTTAGACTTGTAATTGGAGGAAAAGCAAGAAATGAGTTCAGTCCAGAATCCAGAGCAGGTCGTGTTCAGGTTGAGAGGACAGGGCCAGTGCTGCTCTTTGGGAAACCAGCCATTTTTAAAATAGTTTTTGTCCAAATGTTTCTCTCAGATCATTATTTGACATTGAATTCACAAACCCACCATATTATTATTCAAGTCCTTTCTTTTGGCACATCTGGTATTCTAAATATAGACACCCCTTTTTGACCCTTTATGAGAAAAACGATGGTTTAGGAATTAGAGGAATTAGCAAAAACTACCACGAAGAAGTTGCCTTTTGACATGTATCTTAGTAAAGCTTCCCTCAATCACAATGTTAAACAATCGGCTCTTTGCAATGTTGTGATGTCACATGAGACATATACATTGAATTACAAAATGAAAAACGTAATTGTAACAAATCCCTGTGAGTCACAATTAAACTCTTTTAGGGCTATCTTTAGATTCAGATTCAGATTCAGTTTAGCCATTCAGCCATTTGCAGTATTTGCAGTAAAAAAAAATACTGCATTCAGCCATTTGCAGTAAAAAAAACCACATTGGAATACATTAGCAAAAAGTCTCCAGTGTGCACAGACAAATACAGACATAAAACAACATTAAAAGACAAAAATAAAACAAATAAAACAGTAAACAAATGTCACTGTGAAAAAACAGTTTCAAAACAAGTGCAAATCATTAAAGTGCTCTGTTCACACTGATAACAGCTTGTGGATAAAAACTGTTAGCGTAACGAGATGTCCTGCATTTCAGAGAGCGATATCTTCTGCCAGAGGGAAGAAGCTGGAACAAGGCTTTTCTAGGGTGGCCAGAAGAGTCATTGATGATTTTAAGAGCTTTGTTAAAAAGTCTGGATTTATAAAGAACCTCCAGAACAGGAAGCTCACAGCCCACAGTCCTCTTTGCAGAGTGGAGCACCTTGTTTAAAGCTCTCTTTTCTTTATCTGTGATGTTTCCAAACCACACAGACACAGAACCAACAAGTGAACTCTCAATGGTGCAGCGATAAAAGTTAAGCAGAATCTTGGAGTTAGTGGTAAATTCTTTTTAAAGTTTATGAAGAAAGTAGAGACGCTGACGAGCTTTCTTAACGACTCGGTCAGTGTTTTTAACCCATTTCAGGTCGTTAGACAGAGTTAAACCCAGAAACTTGCACTCCTCTACGATCTGCACCTGGGAGTTGTCGATTACGACAGGCAAATGAGAACTATTGCGACTGAAGTCGAAGACCAGTTCACATGTTTTCGATGCGTTCAACTGGAGGTTGTTAGTTTGACTCCACTGAACCACATTTTGTATCTCTGCTCTATAAGAGGATTCATCATTGTCACTGATGAGACCGATGATGGTGGTGTCATCAGCATATTTAATGATCAAGTTTGAGTCAGAGGAGGACACACAATCATGAGTGTACAAAGTAAAAAGCAAAGGACTCAAAATACATCCCTGAGGAGATCCAGTGCTCACAGAAACAACATCAGAAAAACAGTCATTGATTTTCACTCTCTGAGCTAAAAATTTTAAAATCTAAAATAAATAGTGCTCTTATATTAAATTAAGTAATTAAAAAAACTACAAGTAAAAAAAATAGGACACTTATATCTTAGACATTTTGAAAAAGTAATTTCTTTCTCAATGATTATTAATGATTGTGTGCTTGTTTCTGTTTTGTTTTGTTCAGCACTTTGAGTTTCCTTATGTATGAACTGTGCTATACAAACAAACATGTCTTGCCTTAAAGGAGCAGTATGTAAACCTCTGACCAAAAGTGGTACTGCAGCCTCTCCCACTCTCCCTGACTCAGGTTGCCAGATATGCAGACGAATCCAGCTGGGACCATAACAGCTGAATAGAGTTTTGTCAACAACAAATCTATAACCAACACCTTTTTCACAAAGATAGAAATCCTGGTTTTATTCCTTGTTTTGTTGTCAATGATTTGAGAATCATAACAAGACTAGGGATGTACCGAATCCAGATTTTTGGAGTTCGGGCGAATACCGAATCCACTGGTTAAGATTCTGTCGAATCCGAAACCGAATACCGAATCCTATTCCATCCTCAGTCCATTAATGTTTCATACGCAAATGTTTTAAAAGTGGCGGTGTTGTGTACTGTTTAGGTCCTTACCACCACGAGACAATTTTTTATTGTTCTTTTTATATTCATACATATTTGCACACACGTTTTTTTTTTATATTTGATTTTGTATTTTACTGTTTTACTCTGTTTTTGATTTTATGGTGCAGCACTTTGGAAACTGTGTTTATGAAATGTGCTATATAAATAAAGTGGATTGGATTGGATTGGCGTAGCTCGACTATATCACCTTTTTTGGACTAAAAGTACCGCCAAACAACACTTTTTCTGCTCACAAGTTCCATTTTCACTTTTTCACTTACACAGCCTGAGCTACTGTGTTCGAGAAAAAATACTTTAAGTAGCCGCACAGCTAGCGTCCAGATGCATTCAAAGACTAACACATAGACAGTTTAATTCTTGATTAGATTCACTGTCCTTTACTTGTTTAATCATCATACACCTGTTATGTGTTGTATTTCTGAAATAATTATTCGGAATAAAATGATAAACTGTCTATGTGTTTCCCACATTTCCATGTGTCTTTGAACGCATCTGGGCACTAGCTGCCGGCTACTAAAAGAAACCGAACCCCGTCAAAAAAAAGCCAATATTCAGCCGAATCCAAAACCGAATCCTGGATTCGGTACATCCCTAAACAAGACCTTTTTTAGTTTTGCGCCAAATGGTACTTTACCAGTGAGATTAGCTCCACGCGGTGAGTTCTGGCGCCCGAATCACAGACTTCCTGATTTGTGAAACGGTGGAGGGCGAGACATCAAAATCAAAACAATAACAAGATTTAGGGGCTGTAAAAGTAAATTCAACTATCTCTGAACTACTGTTATCAGTTAAAGAAGTAATGGAAAAGAGCAGTTTATTATTATGACAGATTAGGGCCCTTTAATGATGACAGGTTAGGGTCCTTTAATGATTACAGATTAGGCCCTTTAATGATGACAGGTTAGGGCCCTTTAATGATTACAGATTAGGCCCTTTAATAATTACAGATTAGGCCCTTTAATGATTACAGATTAGGGCCCTTTAATGATGACAGGTTAGGGCCCTTTAATGATGACAGATTAGGGCCCTTTAATGATGACAGGTTAGGGCCCTTTAATGATGACAGGTTAGGGCCCTTTAATGATTACAGATTAGGGCCCTTCAATGATGACAGGTTAGGGCCCTTTAATGATGACTCGACATGACAATCTTACATACTGCCACTTTAAGGTTTCCTGCAGAGATATGGATTGAGCCGTGAGTTCTCCAAAGTCCTGGACCAGGGTCTGAAGATGGCGGTGACCCTGGACCAGATGGTATATGAGACCGGCCTGGAGGAGGAGGTCCCTTCTGTGACCGAGTTTGTGGTGGATTTGATGGTCTTCATAAAGAACACCAAGGACTTCACTCAAAAACAAATGAAAACAATGGAAGACGAATTTGAAGAGAAACAAGACATGATTCATGCACTGGCTCTGGAGGCGCTGGACTGACCCAAAAATATGAATCTGTTATTTGGAAATGATCAAACTAAATAGTAAATAGTTTTCTTTTTTAACACCATGTGATACAGATTCCAAAACATAAACTACCATGTACAACATAGTAGTGCAGAATATGTGGGTGGAGGAGGGAAAAGGTGTGGAGGGGGAGGATATTTTTTTAAACATCTAGAGCAATGACCAAAGAGAATGGTGATTAATTAAAAAAAAAAAAAAAAAGTACGTAAAAACAAACAAGAAACAATTACTGTCATGGAAATATGTAGGTGCTAATGCAGGTGTTAATGTATTTGTGTGTTTGTATAAATGTTTGTGAGATTATGCTTTTCTGAAAAAGAATAGAAAATAAATAAAAAAAACGGGGAAAAAATAGCACGAGAATAATATATACAGCAAAACATTTAGTTTCTTTTGAGTCAATATTCATTTCAACGTGCATCAAATACAAATATTCAAGGTTGTTTTGAATCGCCCTAAATCACAACATCAGTCTTCGGGACTTTACAAGGTTGTCAATTCCTCCACAACAGATCAAAGAATCAAACAGGAACACAGGCAAGGCGATGACAAACTCATGGAGCCGTTGGTTCATAGTGAGCGGGACGACCATAAATGTCCTGGATCATCACAGTCCTTAGACCCTCCTGCTAAGACTAAGAATAATTTACTTCCACATTGGTCTAGAATGGAGGCTTTTCGTGTCTCCACATTCACATGAAGGGACCGTGGCTGTAAGTTAGTAAGTAATTAAAATAAATGAGTAATTTAGTAAAGTTTATTTGTAGAGCGCTTTTCACAGACCGGGATCACAAAACACTTCACAGTTCAAAATAAGGATGTATGTTGTAATGTACATGTTTGAACAGCAGGGGGCAGCAGAACAACAATAACACATGTTTCTCATCAGACAGGCCACAGCGTCTCTCTTTTATGGATATTCCAGTTTATTCACTGAAGAAATAGTAACTTAGCACACAATGCATGGCCTTCTATTTTTATGCTATGTATATTCATTAATTTTGTTCATTTGAGTATGTAAATAACCACAAAGTATTTTACATTACAATTTATTTCAGTTACGGTAAACTTCCGGTTTGAGTTTTTGGCATTTTATTTTGATGGCTTTGATGTGAGCGTGAGTCATCAACGGCAACGAACGGTAAAAGAAAGATGATAAAAAAGTTAACGTTAAAATGTTTTTATGACTTAGCTACCTCTTTGTTGAGGAGCAAGGTGTGTTTATAATTTGTTTATATATGTTGCATTATTTGTAAATAGATTATAAGATTATGGACATAAATACACTGACATCATTTTCTTCCGCTTTATCCATTTCTGGGTCGGGGAAGTGGCAGTCAGAGCAGCACCCAGTCGACAGAGCACCAGCCCCTCACTGATCCTCCTGCAGGTGGTGAGTCCACAGGAGCTAAGATCTTCCAGCAGGGGCTCCCGGCAAAGTGGGGTTAAGTGTCTTGCCCAAGGACACAACGACAGCAGTCATCAGTGGGAGTCGTGATGTAGGTCTCACTGTGGGCTCGAACCCACAACCTTCAGGCCCAAAGGCCAATTCTCTACCAACTGAGCTGCTATCACCCCCCTGGACAGTGGTTATCCCCATAACAAATAAAAAATATAATGTGTATTTTGTTTGCTACAACTGGTGAATACAACAACGAAAACAGTTTGTTAAAAAGCTTCATGCTAACAGCTTCATGCTAAACTGCTGCAAGAAAACTGTGTTGGTGTGATTTTATTAGGCTGAAAATTATAATATTCAGCCTAATACATTTGCATGGGTCCAACAGAGACAGAACAAAAGTATGGAAAATTAGCTCACAGTTTTTTGTTGTTGTGTCCCCTGGTCTTACGATGAATTTGAGGGTTTACTGCCATTAACCACGATACTCATCTGTAAAGTGTCTTCCTATGCGTGGGAACAGATACAGAGAAGGGACACAGAAAGCATAGACAAACATACAGAAGTACAGAAGTCTAATCAACCTTTTTGAGCTGTGGCACACACACCACACATGAAACTCTGCAACCTTTTTAATCACTGAAAGTCATTCTCATTAAAGTGTATTATAAGTGTACTTCTAATCTTCTCACATTTTCTTTTCACTTTATTTTAACCAAATAGATGCATACATACAACATATAAAGGCAAACTAACATACCACAAAACACTGGTCTAATGGATGATTTTATTTCTTTTTCCCACTGGGTTTTTGTGAGTTTTTCCTTGCCGATGCAGGAGGGTCTGTTGGACAATTAGTGTCCAACTAGAAGGACTGTGGTGTTGATCCAGGACACTTTAACATTCTGCAACATGCATGACATATATCAACATTCATGGACATTGGTCTCTCCGTATGGACCAAGGATTTAGGGCTATACAAGAGTAAGTTGTTGTTGCTGTTGTTAATAGTACCAATATTTACCTCTTGGTTTGTTTCAGGTCAAATGAAAGCACTCATTTTGTGAATTGAGTCGAGCGGCGCAAGCTCTTGTCTCTACCAAAAAAAAAAGTGTCATTATTTTGGCACAAGAGGTTTCAAGTACGCTTTAATCGGAACAATGTCAACAGCGTGAGAAGTTTCTTTGAGGGAGGAGCTCTTAGTCATTTCCATGCAGTCCCTGACCTCCCAGAGGCGCAGGTGGACACTCCCCAATCAGAGGTTAGAACACACCTGATGCACGTGATGTCACACAAACACACAGAGAAGGATCAGATTTACTGTCGCTCACCAGCTGGGACTTAGGTCACTTGCATAGTTCTTGATCTGAGAAAGTTTAGGAACCCCTGATTACCCCGACATTTTACCAGTCAGAACACTTTTATAATTAGTGCTTATTATTGTGGTTGTTGAATCCATTTCTCGTGCTTCAAAATATATTCTCCAACTCCTATTGATTACATGTACAGTTTGTTAATTCATGTGTAATTGGAGTATTCCCACTGGGTTTTTCTCCCAATGGCTACTATGGGTTTGTTATTACAGTCCGAACTTATTGATTTTCTGATCTGTTGTTGGCGAATTAATAACTTTAAGGTCCTACGAGGCGACTGCTGTTGTTGTGATTTAGGGATATACAAAATAAATTGAACAAACAGAAGCTATGAGATATTAAATCCACAAAGATCACCAAGTCTCCACTGTCATAATGTAGAGACAGGACATGATTAGAAAGAAAACCTTTTACGTAAAAAGATCCCTGTGAGTCACTATTTGACTCTTTGGGCTGAAAGCTGATTGGCTAAGTGAGGGTGGTCCTCTCTTTTTCACTTTTCTATCTAAAAAAGCTGATCTAAAGACACAACAGAAACCAAAAATACTTGCATTATTGTGTCGTTCAAAAGTTAGGTCCAACTCCAGCTTTAAATGAGAACAGAAATAATATAATTATTAGTAAAATATATTTATTTCGTCTTAAAAAAAAGGTGACATTTTTAAACACAAATGAACACATACAAATCATTATTGTCTTGAGAATATTAATTAACTTTAAATAAAACTATATATTATCAACCTTTTGGGAATCTGTGGGATCAAACTAGACCAGACTAACAAACAGATCGGGCTGTACCAGTGGGGGCGGTCTTGGTTCAAACCTGTGCGCTGACATGCTGCAATACCACCCCGGGCCAGTGGGGGTGGACCCAAAAAGAGAATCATCCAATGCTTTTGTATGCATCCTCTTGAAAAGGTCTTTACAGAATGGTCCAAAAGTCTCTCTTGGTCCAAAGCTACGTTCGAGATGTGTGTCAATGTTGAGGTGAGTCTATTTTTTTGGACCAGTCTAGTTCAGCCGCTGTGGACTTCAGAATGCACTCCTTAAATGAATGGGGCGTTTTTTCACATTTTCCCGAAGGAGGTGCTGCCTGTGGCCATTTTGAAAAAGCCCCATAGAGGCCAAAAGTGATGGCACATTAGTTTCAACTTCTGAGAAAGGCCTGACTACGTTCGTTAATATTTACAGTGTATGAGCTGTACACACAATTTTAAAAAGAAATACATACAGCAAGAAGAAAAATATAGTAAAAAACATAGCTATCTATCCATTTGTATGAAGTAAAGAGATGCATTTAAGTTATAATTTAAATATATTAGCTTTAAGAGCAAAAAAGACAATTGTAAGTCACACACGACCACAGTGCATCCAGTGGGACCAGTCATTTTACATTTGGATTGGTATTGGTCAGGGGTCTCCAACCTGTAGCTCGCCACCTCCTTCCCGGTAGCTCCCCATAGGATTTAGAATGGACTAATACAAATAGAATATTCTTACATGGCACAAGTATCAAAAAATCTATACTAGATTTTTGTATGTGCAAGGAAAGTCAGACACGGTTTACATTATAGTTAAGATACATGAATGCAATGTAATAAAGACAGCAATAAAATAAATTTGTTTAAAGGCCTTGTTTACTTCAACATGTCCTCTTTCTCTCACCTGCCTGAAGGAAAAGCAACAATGTACTGTAGTAGATCTCCTGGTATAGAGTGTAAATAATTAGGATCGATTAAAGCTCTTTTGATTGAGTTTAGAAATAAATAAACAAGATTGTGGCGTGAACGACTTCTCTACGTCTTTCAGAATAAAGAGAAATGAAAGAACAAGTTAGACCTGTACATAAAGCATTTCAATGGGAATGTCTACAAAGAGGATATTTAATGCGAGTTGCTCCGTAGTCGCAGCCTTGGAACACGAGGAGGGTTATATTTCATAGAGTAATGACATTTTCGATTGGAGACTGTGTTTGTGTCGTCTGGTCTGAGCTGTTCGAGAGACTTGTTGCTTTGAGTGGGGCTCACATCCTCCACCGGCGAAGAGCTGCTTTTTGCGTTTTCCTCGATGGTACGAATGGATGGGACGTGTATGTGATTCTCTGACCCTGGACTCCCGTTGTTGATGGTGCGTCGAGCCATCGCCTTCATTCTATTAAAAAACCTGTCCATGGTATCGGTGTCCGACCCCCAGATGGCTTCGTAGCACTTGGGCAAGAAATGGCAAAAGATGATTCCGTAGTTGGAGACGAGGATGGCAGATGCCTGGACCGCCGTACGCTCTTCCTTGTTGGTGATGTAGACGGGGACGAAGCAAACCCAAACAAACAAGTACATTAGCATGCTAAAGATGATGTAGCCAGTCTCGCTGAACTGCTGCGGGACCTTCCTGCCTTTGAACGCCAAGAGGAACCCAACCAGCGCCAACAAGGCCACGTAGCTCAACATGATCCCAAACCCAATGTATTTTGGTCCCTCGTGACACTGGATGACTTTTTTCAAATTGAGCGGGGAAGGCGGGGTCTGGTCGATATCGGGAGAGTCAAAGATGAGCCAAAGGCAGCAGATGACCCCCTGGAGGATGGTCAGGACGACGATGATAGCGGCTGGTTGGTAGAACTTTTTCAGTCTGCGGTGTAGGACTCTCCCAAATGGCAGGAAGGCTAAGAACGTGCGGTAGGCTTTGACCAGGACGCATGACACGCACATGGTGAAGCCCAGCGCGTACATGACCTGGCGGGCGCGGCAAAGGTGGATGTTGGGTTTGCCCATGAAGCAGATGACGCTGGCGAAGCTAACGGACAAACCGGCGATCATGACCGTAGAGATGGCCACCTCGGCTCTCTTCATCGCCGAGGAGTTTCTGTAGACCCAGAATAGGATCAAGACAATCAGCAAAAGCAGGAAGCCGAGCAACGTGGCGACCAGGATCGTAATGGGAAGGGCTTCGTTCCAGCGCAGGAAGAACTCCCATCGAGGGACGCAGTGGTCTTGGCCTTTGAGACACCAGGTATCGGTTGGGCACAGTTTGCAGTCTTCATGGTCTGTCGGGGAAAAGAAGACAATATTGTTTTTTATGTCCGGTTTACAGCTACAAATCCCGCTTCAACTAAAAGATCCAACTAATATTGCCCGTCACTAATGCTGCGGTCACTAACGCTGCGGTCACTATCGCTGCGGCCACTATCGCTGCGGTCACTATCGCTGCGGTCACTATCGCTGCGGTCACTAACATTGTGGTCACTATCGCTGCGGTCACTAACATTGTGGTCACTATCGCTGCGGTCACTAACGCTGCGGATACTATCGCTGTGGTCACTATCGCTGCGGTCACTAACACTGTGGTCACTATCGCTGTGGTCACTAACACTGTGGTCACTATCGCTGCGGTCACTAACACTGGTTACTATCGCTGTGGTCACTATCGCTGTGGTCACTAACGCTGTGGTCACTAACGCTGTGGTCACTAACACTGTGGTCACTATCGCTGTGGTCACTAACACTGTGGTCACTATCGCTGCGGTCACTATCGCTGCGGTCACTAACGCTGCGGTCACTAACACTGGTTACTATCGCTGTGGTCACTATCGCTGTGGTCACTAACGCTGTGGTCACTAACACTGTGGTCACTATCGCTGTGGTCACTAACACTGTGGTCACTATCGCTGCGGTCACTATCGCTGCGGTCACTAACGCTGTGGTCACTATCGCTGTGGTCACTAACACTGTGGTCACTATCGCTGCGGTCACTATCGCTGCGGTCACTAACACTGTGGTCACTATCACTGTGGTCACTATCGCTGTGGTCACTAATACTGTGGTCACTATCGCTGCGGTCACTATCGCTGCGGTCACTAACGCTGCGGTCACTAACACTGGTTACTATCGCTGTGGTCACTATCGCTGTGGTCACTAACGCTGTGGTCACTAACACTGTGGTCACTATCGCTGTGGTCACTAACACTGTGGTCACTATCGCTGCGGTCACTATCGCTGCAGTCACTAACGCTGTGGTCACTATCGCTGTGGTCACTAACACTGTGGTCACTATCGCTGCGGTCACTATCGCTGCGGTCACTAACACTGTGGTCACTATCACTGTGGTCACTATTGCTGTGGTCACTAATACTGTGGTCACTATCGCTGCGGTCACTAACGCTGCGGTCACTATCGCTGCGGTCACTAACGCTGCGGTCACTATCGCTGCGGTCACTAACGCTGTGGTCACTATCACTGCGGTCACTATCGCTGCGGTCACTAACGCTGCGGTCACTATCGCTGCGGTCACTAACGCTGCGGTCACTATCGCTGCGGTCACTAACGCTGCGGTCACTAACGCTGCGGTCACTATCGCTGCGGTCACTAACGCTGCGGTCACTAACGCTGCGGTCACTAACACTGCAGTGACAGTTACCCCAGCCGTCGGTGAAGCTGCCCTCGTCACAGGGCACACATGTGTAACAACAGGAGACTGAGAGGATCTTCTTAAAGTATCCGGGTTTGCATCGTTCTGAGCATCTGCACACAGGGACCTGCAGACAGAGGACCTCAGGTTGAGAAACGCTGTCTTACTGGTCCAACAGGACACTGCTGAGTAATACACTTACTGTTGAGTTGCTTGTTGAAAGCCAAATTAAATCTTTTTGATCAAGTTTGATCATTTTATCAAGAGCACGATATCGTCCAATTTTACTGAATTGACGGCGATTTCCATCTTTGGTCCACATGATGAGGTCATAACCGTTCAGAGAATCGCCATTCTCATCAAAGTAGAAGGTATGATTTTCGTAATCAAAGTGTATTCTCCTAAGTTCCACCAAAAGCTTGAAAACAGAACAAAGAAATTTTGAAAACAACGTCATGTGAAGCACAAAGAAGCCGCACTCTGGCGACACTCACCTCCCATGGGAAGAAGTCCTTCCGTCCAGAGCACACGGTCCTGTTGCACCGCAGAACCTTCCTGAGGCTGTGAGCCACAGCCCACACCGCCGCTCTCTCCAGAAAGGCAGCTCCTGTGTCCAGAGTCTGCACCAGGTACTCATCGTTCTGAGCCTGAGGGTCACTGGCCTTGCAGGCTTCAGTGGACTTCATCTTGCAGAATGAGGGAGGGTTGTCACTGTTACACTCTGGGCTGCAGTGGAAGCGCAGGTTCTTGTACTCTTCAATGAACTGATTGTAGCCTCCCACAGGAGCGCTCAGGTTCTTCAGGTAATTGTCAAAGGATTCGCTCTTTCTAGCGATAAACATGAAGCCTAGAATGTCTCCCACTTGGTTGATGCCGTCCATGTGAGCCAGGGGCCCATTCACAGTCCAACTGTCACTCGCCAGCCAGATCTTTTTAGTATTTGTTTTGATCATTTCTTTAAAGATGGCTTCCACCTGCACGGGTGTGAGAATGAGCAGGACCACTTGGGCAGTGGAGGAGCGGATCTGCTCCGCGACTCGCTTCAGGTCATGGCCGTTGTCCTGAGGGTCAAACTGAAAGGGCAGCTCTTCCTGGTAGGCAACGCACACATTAGCTCTCTGTGCATCTCTGAGGAAACTCTGCAGAGCCGCTTTCCCATAATCATCATCTCTGTAGACCACACCCACCCAGTTCCAGCTGAAGTGAGCCATGAGCTGCGTCAAGGCCATGGTCTGGTGCACATCACTGGGTATAGTTCGCAGGAAACTCGGGTACCTCTGTTTATCACTGAGAGCAGGAGAGGACGAGCTGCTGCTGAGCTAAGAGACACATGACGAACGTGAGACTAATGAGACAACACTATACAACACTACACAACACTATACATACTACATGAACAATGTCAGAAACCAAACCTACCAAAGGAACCATGGAAACACTCAGAAGTTTGGCCACAGATACTGATGTCTCAGAGTAGCGCGCCCCCAGAATGGCCTTCACCTCCGGCCTGTACTGAGTGTAGTCGCACTGTGTGTGCAGGGACTGGTTGTATGACAGCATCAGCTCCACATTCTGCAGGGCTTTACTGGGATGGCTGCAGGTGTCGCACATCATGTACCCAAGGCTCACACCGGGGAGGAACCCAGCTGCGTTCACCTCCTCAATGGCGTGGATCGCTGCCAAGCTATTCATGAAAGGCACGAGGCTGAAACTGAACAGAAGTGAGTTATTGTCTCGCTCCAGTGACAGATGAGTCTCGCAGCAGAGGGGTTCCTGAAGATTTGTTTGTTTTTATATGAATGGAAATGGGGCACTTCATTGTTTATTTGGACCAACACAGAGCACACCTTTCCAACTTAAGTCCACAGTCTTCAAAGTAGGCCGCTAAAATATAGTTCTCTTGTCAACTGATTATGATATAAAAATTTTATTTGAAAAGAAACAAACTCTCTCACACAGTACTTGTATACACCAGTGTTAAAGCTGTAGTCATCTTTAAAGCTCATCTTTAACAGTGGTTTATGCTGTTATAGCTCAACAAGAACCTTTCGGTTTATTGTCCAATAGACATTGGTCAACTCCCCCCAAGGACCAATACCTCATCATTTGCATCATTATGTGTAAGTCTTCTGGACCTCTCCACCAATGAAGCTGAAATACTTGTGTGTCCCAAGTAGATTAAACTACAGTCACGCCTCTTTTCAAAAGGTCTCATAACAAAATCTCTTGCTAACGTTCTGAAAGACCTCACATGACGTCTATTTTTAAGGACTAAAGGACAGTGGTGATGATCCGGGACACTCAACATACTACAACTTTCATGGACATTGGTCTCTCCCTATGGACCAATAAGTGTTTTATATATTTTGAGTTTGAACTGTTTGATTCTCTGATCTGTGTTAACTACTGTTGTGATTTAGGACAATACAAACATAAATTGAATTGTGTCTTCAGTGGCTCCATCGTCAGGACCGGATTGACTTTAACATAATTGTTTATAGAACAAACCCTCAACAACGATCGCCCATTTTAACGGGCTGTTTACACTTCTGTGGATCGACTCGATTGTCTAATCTCGGACTCACTTTCCACTTTCACTTTCCAGTAGAACTGAATCTGATGAGTTTGTTTTGGCTTGTTATAGAAATCTTTTAGTAAAGCAATCTGAATTAACACCAAATAGTTATAACTAATAGTCACCTCTGGATTCAGTTGTCATCTAGGTCAGTTGATAGACGTGCTGCAACATGTCTTTGACCTTATCTGGGTCATAGAACAATATGATCAGGTCAAACGCAGATTATTACATATATCAGAGTTGTATCAGCGTAAGAAATTGCAAAGAGAAGCCTTGAGCAACACATATCAATGTTGACTTCATTTATGTAATATCTAGAGTAGATATGTGTTTGATTTCCTCATTCGTGGCAGAGGATTTCAGACGGCTGCCCGGTGGTATTAGTATCGGTTCTGTTATTCATTGTATATGTGCATTTACTAGTGAATAAACTCACACTTTGATTGTTTTACAGCTCTTGGTTGTTTACATTATTTTTGCTCTTGGTCACTGCAGAATTTCCACAACAGGCTCTGATATTGAAGATAAAGGAACTGTCCCAGGAATAGACTGGCCATAGAATAACAGAGTTGGATGCTTTTGAGCCTTGACATTATTCCTACACATTCACTGGACTTGGATGTAAACAATGAGAATGCATGACCCACTCCTGATGGACTGATTTGAGGCTGAGAGTTGATTGGCTGAGAGAGAGGGGGGTTCTCTCTTTTAACTTTTCTGTTTGAAAATGTTGAGCAAAAGCCGTGACAAAGGCCAAAAACCATGCGAAAACTGGTGACAGAACCAAACTGTTGAGAGTGAGGCATTGGTTACATGGATTTTATTACAAACAGTGATTATTTTGTGGTCTGAATGTTGTGTAACCCAGCTTTAAATTTCTCCATTGTGAGATTTAATTTGGGGAAATGTTTTGCACAATCTGATTCTATCCATGACAAATGTGACAGTGTGAAATCAATAAAGTTTAGGAAAGAACCGCCCTCTCCACGATTTGAACAAAACTCTCTAGTCTTATTTGACGGGCATGTATCATCAGAGGCGTCCCGTGCCAACAGGCAAGGCAGGCAGCTGCCTGGGGCCCCCAAACCGGCAGGGGCCCCCGAGGGACGACTGATTTGACACAAGCGGTCGACTTGTACAGGCCACAACCAAGCCCCGGCGATCCAAGATGGCGCCCTATTCAAATGAATGGTCGTGCTCAGTGGCGCTTTGTGACGGCATGGGGGCTGAAAGATTAGCAGAAGTTGCCTGAAACTCGCAAAGATCTATGGGAAACTCGCCTGTATTTGGGCATCGTCTGGTCCTCTCGGTTCTGTGCAGTGGATGATCTCCCATAATGCGTTGCGCCAAACACGCGTGTGTGGGTCTCACACCGGGTCTCACGCACGTGCACAGAGAGGCTCGGCCGCGCTCTGACCAATCAGAGCAGTTCATCAGAGCGGGAGTTAGAGCGAGAGCCAGACGAGCAGAGTTTGTGGCACTAAAGTGTGGATTTAAACAAAACCGAAGGATTTAAGAAGAAAAAAAGTTCAGGATGACAAGGGACACTAAAATCCCCACAAAATACTATCTTTATTAAAGCTGTAGGTTCTCTGTCAGCTGAGGTCGAGCTGTTTTAATATGCATTGAGTTCTATGGGGAAAATGTCTGGGTAGCCCACGTGAATTTAGTCTGGTTCAGTCTGCAGTACCGCGAGAATCCCCTGAGCACATGAGTTATTCAGCTACAAGCTGTAATACCCTATCCAGTTGATATAATACATCCATGGCCACAACAGGTACCTGCAGTGACGAGTTGCAATTTGACCGCCCGTCTCAAATCCCCTGATAGGGCCCCGCTCCTCTCGCCCCTCGCCCCACATGTGTCAGTGACAGAGGTGAGCGGAGCGTGCAGGCAGCGTGCTATTTCTCCCAAAGCAAAACAAAGTTGTCCGACCAAATGAAGAGAAGTTATCCTTCTGGAAGCGATAAACGAAAGCGCAAAAAAGAGGAAGACGAGAAAAGAAAGCATGATAGCGGTGAGTGACTGACATCTAGTCTACATGACGCTCTTGGAACTAACTTGTTTGTTTGCGGATCACATCACAGCAACATTTAGCATGCTATTGTTAGCGTTTTGAAGGATTAATACCCTTTGATAGCAGGTAGTGTTTTTAATTAATTATAACATGAGTGTAGTGAACAAGTTTATAAAAAGACATGCTAATTTATTTCTCATTGCTTTTCGTCACCAAAAACTTTTTAAAATACTAATTTTCTATGGTAGACTGTGCAGTATGCCAGGCAGGCCCCAGGCTTGTACATTTATTGTTAGAAATAAGAAATTGTCTACATTTTAATGTTAATGTAAACAATTAATAGATGTTGCATTTTTACTTACTAAATAATATATTTTCCCCTTTTGCTCAGGATTGCTAAGAAAATGTTTAGTTCCCTCATCTTCTTCAAATCAGGAACATGCTTCTAGTTGTAAGTACTTTATCTATATATATTCTTACTTCTAAAGATATTTTATCAAAATACATTACGACGTTAATGCCATGTTTGATTTCTCTTTATCTTTAAGCTCAGTCTGCCGCTACACACACTACTACAGTCCCAAGTACTGCCACGCCAAGGTTTACTGCCCCCTCTACAGCCCTGGACAGCAGCGCTTCCTCCAGTGAGCAGCAGTCAGCTATATCCCATACTGCAATGGTCAACATTTCGTCGCCTACCTCCATTGACCAAGAGGACCAAACAGAACCACAAGCACCCACTCCAGGTATGATATTAGTGCAATAATGTATTTAGTTTAAAAAATGCTTGAATTTTACACACTATGGCCCTTTGTAGTATCTACCATATCTATAATTTCAAACAAATATAAGAGGTATACTTGAAAATAAATCAATATCTAAGTTGGTTTGTATTTTGAAGATGTGTAAATTAAAAATACATAAATAGTAATGTAAATATGGACATACTTAGCAAGCCATCTTTAGCAACAATTGTAATTGTAAAGGCTGTAAAAGGAGACTAAACATAGTGTTTGTTCAAGTAATGATATCACATCAGGATTATTTATGGTTATTGTGTTTTTCTTTTGAGAATTCATGTGTTTTTTTAATTGGTTTCAGCTCAAACGACATCCACAGACCAAGAAAAGGCAACACCAATAAGATTGACATCTTCTGATCCTGGACAGTGGCCTGATGTTCTTAATGATGGTGAAAAAAGGTCCTCTTCAGGTGACGGATATTGTTTTTCCTCAAAGCAATGAACAAAATCCTCGGAGATTCACAAAGGAAAATTATTACATGGTCATGAGAAATGGTGAAAAAATAAAGCGAACATGGCTAGTATATTCAAAATCGACCGATTTGCGGTCGTTTTGCTTTGCTTGCAAAATATTTGGCAAAAAGGACAATAATGCTCTAACTAAAGGAGGGTTTAAAAACTGGAAAAACCTTGTTGCACATTTAAAAGAGCATGAATATTCCAAACCCATATAAATAACATGAAAAGTTGGCATGAGCTCCAGATAAGGTTAAAAACAAAATCTGCTCTAGATCAAATACACCAGGATCTATTGCACCTTGAGGAGCAGCTCTGGAAAACAGTAATCCACAGGATTATTGCTATAATATGCAAGTTCTACAAAGAAGTATTGTCACAGAGTTGAGAACCTATAAGCTTTATTGTTTAGTTGTTAATTATGTTTTCATAATATTGTTGTTCCGCTGATCTTTGTTGTTAGTATTTTGTCAATTCTGTTTCAACTTTATGATGCAAAATAAATAATATTTATATCTACTGCAGTATTAACCTTTTTATGTGGTTATATGGTCGGTATCAGGGCCCCCAAGGACTCTTTTGCCTGGGGCCCCGGGGTACCCTTGGAACGCCACTGTGTATCACCAGAATGATTGACAGTTGGGAGGACCAATAGTCTTGATAATCCACCCGGAAGTAGAAAATCCTCCTACTTACCTTTTAAGTTCAAGAGTTAGAGCTGCTTAATGAGAAATAAATGCAAATGTTGAAGAAAGCAATATCAAAGTAAAGATGCACTCACTTGGAGCACTGGTATCTTTCCGGGCTGGTCCTGTTCAGGTTCTGGACGGAGTCGTGACTGGGTAACATGAGTCCGATCATGATGTCGCCCTGGACTCTGGCTCCGCAGATGTGGTTCCTGGACACATCGCAGCCGGGGGCCAGAGCCGGGAGGCAGGCCCCCAGCACGGCCCCGAGCACGGCCACCATCACAGGCCAGCACATGGGCATCCTGAGGCTCTGGAGCAGGACGGCAGGACCTTGGAGCTCTGTGCAAAGTGAAAGGCTGAGGTCGCCTCCAGCTGTTAAAAAGCGGTGGGTTTTCCCCTTTAAGGCTGGAACAGTGCGTGTTACTGGAAGCTTGTCTGGTCTTTGATAATAAAGGAATGTAGACGAGTGACACTGCAGCAACTTCTGCATTGTGCTTTTCCAAAAAACACTTGCAGACAGGAAAGACAACATATTTACTGATGTGAGAATTTAATAGTGTTACGGGTTTTTAGAGCGTGAAACAAGGTGCAACAGAGAAAGACCAGCTGCTGCTGCTGAGGCTGCACTTACTGAGCATCTAAGGCTTTGGACAGAGACCCCAGCAACACTGAAACCATTAAACTCTTTTCTGACTGTTTCTGGGCTGTAGTAATAAGACAAATATATATCTTTATATACACGTGTGAAACTCAGACCATTAGAATATTGTTCAAAAGTTTTTAGTGAAACTAATGACTCATTACAGGAGTCTCTCACTGAATCTCCCTGACGTTTGCTGTTGCTGATCCAGGACACTCCAAATCAACATTTATAGACATTGGTCTCTGTTCCTTATGCACCAATGGCTCCATGCATTTTTTAATCATTGCATTTCTTGTGTTTGAACTTTTTGATTCTCTGCTCTACAGTTTTGTAAAGTCCTTCAAAGTAACTACTGTTGTGATTTATGGCTGTACAAAAACAACCATAATTATAAGGATTTTTTGACAAACAATTACTCTAGCTCCTGCTACCTCAGACCTACCTGCAAAATGGAAGTAACCAATATAATAAATAAAATGAAATGTTCATATACAGCTGGTGCTGATGGCATTTGCAGCAAAATCTTGAAAGCCATTGTGAATGAAATAGCTGAACCAGTGACTCATATAATTAATCTATCTTTACAACAAGGCATTGTCCCTAAACAAACTAAGGTTATTATCTACATTAATGATTTTGGAAATTCTTGTGATATTCATCGAATACTTTTTGCAGATGACACAAATTTGTTTGTCGCATAAACGCATCGATCACCTTGAAAACTCCCTAAATGAGCAACTCATCAAAGTAAACAACTGGTTCAGATGCAATAAATTGTCACTTAATCTCAACAAGACTTCTTATATGATCTTTCACTCAAATAGTCATTTGTACCACGACCCAAATATTAATATAACCATTGATAGTAAAACCATTAATAAAGTTGAAGTTATAAAATTCTTAGGAATCCATATAGATCAATTTACAAATTTTAAAAAGCATCTTGATGAGCTTGTTAAAAAATTGTCAAAAATTGTAGGTTTATTGTTTAAAGTGAGACAGTTTCTTCCCTTAGAAGCTTTACTGTCCTTGTATAGATCTCTGTTCGAGCCTCATTTGAATTACTGTAATATCATATGGAATAATACCTACCCCACGTACATGTCTAAACTTCAAATATTACAAAAGAAAGCCATAAGAGCACTTTCTTGGTCCTTGGGTCATGCTCCCACAAATGTTCTCTTCCATAGATATGGTCTATTGAAGTTGCCTGAAGTTAATCTCTACCATAATGCGTGCACAATGTATAGTGTGGTTAACAAGTTAAATGTTCGATTGTGTGAACTCATTCCATTATATTTACCATCACACCAACATAATACTAGGAACAAACTGCTGCCTAAAGGGAAATACAGAAAATTAAAATGCACAAGTTTTAGTATTTGCCACAAAGGCCCAACTACATGGAATGAGTTGGATAGTAACCTAAAGCAATGTGCCACATTATCCAAATTTAAGAGGGAACTGAAGGCTCATCTACTGGGGAGGTATGTGACAGCATGAAAGCGTTGAAGCACTAAGAGTCTTGAACCACTCTCTATTTTGTATCTGTTTGAGGCGAGAGGTAGATCTCTCTTTCACAGCCATGATCTCAGGGCTGGCAGAAGTTACCCTACAGTAAACTCCAGCTGAAAACACTTACAACTACATATTAGGAATACATTAAATATTATTCTTATCATTACTATATAATTATTATTGGTAGCGGAGATGAGCATTCAGCAGCTTCGCCTGCCAAAGTGTTCTGTACTTCCTTGAAGTGTGGTGAAGATGTTATTATTTCTTATTCTTTATCTATTATTGTTATTGATTTAGGATTATTATCTTTATTGTCATTATTATTATTATTACTTAGGTATTCTGGGAGCACTAGTTACTTTTTATTATTATCACTATTATTTTTATTTTTATTATTATTTATATTATGATGACTGTATGTTCGCCTGTAGGTTTGTGACTGTGGTGGTGGTGGTGGTGGTGGTGGTGTGATGGACCCCTAATGTAAAAGCTTCTGCTTCTGGGAGTTCCATTTTCACAATGTAACACATGTACTTTTAGGGACTGTGTGAATTGTGAATAAACTAAACATTAAAATGAAGATAGTGTCAAATGATAGTAGTAATCATTCACTTCCACACAGGGCTGCACACATGCTTTGGAATATCCTCTGGTATTTACAGACCATCAAGAGAACTCAGCGATTGGCTCTGGAGCTTCTCTCTTCATCAGTAACATTTCCTAAACCTGTCGAACCAGTCTGACGGTGAAAAAGTCCATCCTATACTCTGCAATTATTCAGACTTTCTCTTTCTATGAAACCAAATCCTCAAAGAGTAAAGAGTACCGGGTCCACGGACGGCTTCCTTACACTCCTGTTTACTTTCATATTCTACTAAACACTTAATGTTAGAGCAACGGCAACTTAAAGAAAAGAAAATATGGTAAAACAATCTTGAGAGGGCAATGGAAAAGATAATTCAATCAATGTTAAAGTTTGATAAAAAACTTTTGCACCTGGCTTCATATTTGCATTTCTTTCCGTCTCTCTGGTCTCTCCTGTTCCAGTCTTTCCCTCTCTCTGGTCTCTCCCCCTCTCTGTGGTCTCTCTCTGGTCTCTCCCCCTCTCTGTGGTCTCTCTCTGGTCTCTCCTCATCTCTCTGGTTTCTCCCTCTTTCTGTGGTCTTTCTGGTCTCTCCCCCTCTCTGTGGTCTCTCTGGTCTCTCTGGTCTCTCCCCCTCTCTGGTCTACCCCTCTCTTTGGTCTCCCCCACTCTGATCCCCATCTCTCTGGTTTCTCCCTCTTTCTGTGGTCTCTGGTCTCTCCCCCTCTCTGGTCTCCCCCTCTCTGGTCTCCCCCTCTCTTTGGTCTCTCCTCATCTCTCTGGTCTCCCCCACTCTGATCCCCATCTCTCTGGTTTCTCCCTCTTTCTGTGGTCTCTGGTCTCTCCCCCTCTCTGGTCTCCCCCTCTCTTTGGTCTCTCCTCATCTCTCTGGTCTCCCCCACTCTGATCCCCATCTCTCTGGTTTCTCCCTCTTTCTGTGGTCTCTCTGGTCTCTCCCCCTCTCTGTGGTCTCTCTGGTCTCTCCCCCTCTCTGTGGTCTCTCTCTGGTCTCCCCCTCTCTCTTTGGTCTCTCTCCCTTTCACTGGTCTCGCTCTACCATGAAAATTATAAACCGTATATAAACCACTATGTAGCAAAGTCAGTTCATCCAAGTATAATATAGTTCAGTAAACGTAATAAAAAGCCTCAGTACAACACTTTAATAAATGTAAATTCTGTTATTTCAATATTAATCGAACAGTGAAACATATATTATTAAATTAACTTGGAACAGCCTTCTTCGCCTTCCTCTCTGCTCCAGACTTCCGTATAGCGTTGGCCTTGACCACAGCTCCCATCTTCTTACCCGTCTTGCCTTTTTTGCCAAATCTAAAAGCAAAAAAAACATCAAAAAGTAGGAGCACGTGCCCAGTTCACCAGGGTGTTGTTGTGGTCGTACTTGGTTCGCTCTCTCTGTGGGCAGGAGTTGCGTTTGTGTGCGAGGCTGCCACAGTTGAAGCAGCCCTGGTCTGTCTTGGAGCCGCAGGGATGGTCCGGGAGAGTGCAGCGGCTGCAGGATCCACAGTGTTTCCAGGCTGAGGATACAGAAGATCAAATGATGTTAAAAGTAAAGTTTGAAGATAGAAACTCTGAGAAGTGTTTTGATAGTGTTGTTAAACAGTAAGGGTGGGAACCTCAGGGTACCTCAGGATACGATACGACACTGCTCACAGACATATAAACAGAGCCTGCGCAGAGTTTATAAACTTCATTGTCGCAAAACTAAACATGGCAGAGGGCAACAACATTAACAATGTGGCTCAAAATCAGGCATAGAACTATATTTTATCATTATGGTTGTAAATGAATGTGTAAGAAATATTAATTCCATAAAATGTGTTCATAAGATGTTTCTTGTATCTCTCTAGAGAAAAAATGTCTGCAGTGTTTAGTTAAGACTAGCTTCGATGCTAGTTTGCAGCTTACCATGTTCCTTTAAAACCAACATGTTTACATTCTTAACATTCACACCACGCTCTGTGGGCCTCACTCTTATATTTGTGAGTACATTTGACACATTACTTTTACTCACTAGTTCAGTAACGCTAGTTAGTCTGTTGATAAGCATGCTAACCAGGTTCGGCTAGTGGGACCTAGCACACAGAAAATCCAATAAGTTAGGCCTAATTAAATGGTTTATCAGATCAATACAAATAAAGCAGATGAGATGTTATAAAATAACAAAGTAAAATGCATTTATTTCTGCAGGAAAAAACAATACCAAAATAAAAAAGATTTTGAGCCACATTGTTAATGTTGTTGCCCTCTGCCATGATCAACTCTGCACAGGCTCGATTGTTAATGTCTGTGAGCAGTGACGTATTATTGACAGTTTGCTCACTGCTGAAAATCGTATTCTCAAAAAGAAAATGCAAGCACAAAAAAATAATCGTATTCACAAGTACAAAATCACACAGTTTTATATTTTTTTATTCTTAATTACAAAATTCCATGCCTTTTGAGTTAGTATTATCTTAATCATGAATAAATACATTATTTTTATGCACAAATACCGATAAATATAATTTTTTTTGTAGAAATGCACGTCTTTATTGACAGTAACCTTACCCCATACAATACTGACTTCATTTGTGTTCTATCTAGAGTAGATTTCTTTGTTTACTCTGGTCTATTTAATGTCAGATCATTTCCTCATTCGTGGCAGACGGCTGCCCGGTGGTATCAGTATCAGTTCTGTTATTCATTGTTTATGTCACATTTATCAATGAAGAAAATCACACTTTGATTGTTTTTCCAGTTCTTGGTTGTTTACATTATTTTAGCTCTTGGTCTGTGCAGAAATTCCACAACAATACCTACGATTATTTATGGCATAAATAAAAGAAACATTTAGAAAATTTAAATTTCATGATAAATGTAATGGAGATGCGTAATGTAGCCATATATTTAGTATTGATACTAATTTATTTTTTTAAATTAGGGCTGTCAAAATTATCGCGTTAACGCACGTCAATTATTTTTTTCATTCATCGCGTTAAAAAAATTTACGCAATTAACTCATGCCCATGCATCCCATAATAACAGTCAGAATGCCGCAGACACGTGTGTGTGCGATGAGACAGAGCAGGTCTCTGGGAATTCAAGTTTAAAAGAATACAAGCGTGACCGCTGTTGTTTCCTGTATGAACTCTGCGAGCTGAGCGCTCTGGACAGCAGTTCCTCCAGCGGCTGTGATCACGGCGAACGGCGCCGCGTAACGTGATCACATCCAAGACCATCCACGCATTATTCTCTGCTTGTGGTGTGCGTGTCTTTGCGTAACCGCTGAAGCTGAGCCTCAGTCTCCTCCGTGTCTTCTCCCGAAGCACACTCGCTAAATTAAAGCTGGGGTACCTAATTTTCCCTTCCACTACCAGTTCATGACAGATTTAATGACATTCTGCATTTCAGACTGTTTTGAAATGTCCCTCATCTGTAACAAACAATAGTTTTGGTCTGAGTCTAAACAGAAAGACAGAATGTTAATAATGTTAATGCCATTTTATATGGATTTATTTTTATAATAAACAAATACAGTACATATGTTCACTAAGCTGTCATTTATCTTTCCATTCAAACAACCATTTACAGAAAAATATGGCATCAATTTGCCGATAGTTTGAAATGCGATTAATTACGATTAATTAATTTTTAAGCTGCAATTAACTCGACTAAAAATTCTAATCGTTTGACAGCCCTAGAAAAAAAAAATATATATATATATTATACGGCTCCTCACAGCAGCAGTAGAATGCTCCATTGATTTGAATGTAATTTCAAAACGTTCTACCGGTCATTATTTTCTATAACGGACCTCTCAAAACAATAATGACCGCTGCCCATGGCAACGCTCTCTCTGCTTGTCTTTCAAATGCGTGGATAACTCCGCAAGTAGTTCCGGCCACTCCGGAGCTAGCCACGCTCAATCAACACACTTAAATGTTAATCGGAGAATACTTATACATATACATTCTTCACACACGTGCACGGACATTTTCAGAATTTTCTGGTCTTGTCTTCATGACAAAAATACTATTTCTCTGCGTCAAAAAGCGATCGTGAAAAACCCGGAAGTAGTTCCGGCCGCTCAATAAACGCAAATGCCAATCAATCAACGCAATGAAATGTTAATCGGAGAGTAATTTATACATATCCAGTCTTAATACAAGTGCACGGAAGTTTTCAGAATTTTCCGTTTACGTTTTCATGACAAAAACACTGATGTAATGCGAGAAAAGGCGATCCCGAAAAACCCGGAAGTAGATACCGGCACATTTTAAGATACCGGCACATTTTCGGACACATTTGCAGAGGATCGAATTATGGATTTAGGTTAGGTTTATGTATGGGTCACTCACCGCTGATGTTCAGAATTCTTTGTTCAGTTTTCATGCAGTTCCAGGGAGTTCTAGTTTGGAAGTTGCCAGCCTAACTGTTGCACTAGCATAGCCACGGGAAAACCTTTGGGAACTATTTTATTTTCTGTCATTAAATAAACCTTTCGGCATTCCTAAAAGTGGACTGAAGTTTATGTTGTGTGTTCTGTTGGTATAAAGCCGTATAATAAGCGGGATAACGTACCTTCAGGGCGGCTGCAGACCCCTCCGCTGCGCGTCGGGGTCCGCTTCGCCCTGTCGGTACTTATTTTCCGATAATGACCTGCGTAATATACGTTATCCCTTACATATATATACAGTGCCTTGCGAAGGTATTCGGCCCCCTTGAACCTTTCAACATTTCGCCACATTTCAGGCTTCAAACATAAAGATATAAAATTGTAATTTTTTGTCATGAATCAACAACAAGTGGGACACAATCGTGAAGTGGAACAAAATTTATTGGATAATTTAAACTTTTTTAACAAATAAAAAACTGAAAAGTGGGGCGTGCAATATTATTCAGCCCCTTTACTTTCAGTGCAGCAAACTCACTCCAGAAGTTCAGTGAGGATCTTTGAATGATCCAATGTTGTCCTAAATGACTGATGATGATAAATAGAATGCACCTGTGTGTAATCAAGTCTCCGTATAAATGCACCTGCTCTTTGATAGTCTCAGGGTTCTGTTTAAAACACAGAGAGAACCATGGAGACAAAGGAACACACCAGGCAGGTCCGAGATACTGTTGTGGAGAAGTTTAAAGCCGGATTTGGAAACAAAACGTTTTCCCAAGCTTTAAACATCTCAAGGAGCACTGTGCAAGCAGTTATATTGAAATGGAAGGAGTATCAGACCACTGCAAATCTACCAAGACCCGGCCGTCCCTCCAAACATTCATCTCAAACAAGGAGAAGACTGATCAGAGATGCAGCCAAGCGGCCCATGATCACTCTGGATGAACTGCAGATAACTACAGCTGAGGTGGGAGAGTCTGTCCATAGGACAACAATCAGTCGTGCACTGCACAAATCTGGCCTTTATGGAAGAGTGGCAAGAAGAAAGCCATTTCTCAAAGATATCCATAAAAAGTCTTGTTTAAAGTTTGCCACAAGCCACCTGGGAGACACACCAAACATGTGGAAGAAGGTGCTCTGGTCAGATGAAACCAAAATCGAACTTTTTGGCCACAATGCAAAACGATATGTTTGGCGTAAAAGCAACACAGCTCATCACCCTGAACACACCATCCCCACTGTCAAACATGGTGGTGGCAGCATCATGGTTTGGGCCTGCTTTTCTTCAGCAGGGACAGGGAAGATGGCTAAAATTGATGGGAAGATGGATGGAGCCAAATACAGGACCATTCTGGAAGAAAACCTGCTGGAGTCTGCAAAAGACCTGAGACTGGGACGGAGATTTATCTTCCAACAGGACAATGATCCAAAACATAAAGCCAAATCTACAATGGAATGGTTCACAAATAGACGTATCCAGGTGTTAGAATGGCCAAGTCAAAGTCCAGACCTGAATCCAATCGAGAATCTGTGGAAAGAGCTGAAGACTGCTGTTCACAAACGCTCTCCATCCAACCTCACTGAGCTCCAGCTGTTTTGCAAGGAAGAATGGGCAAGAATTCCAGTCTCTCAATGTGCAAAACTGATAGAGACATACCCCAAGCAGCTGTAATTGCAGCAAAAGGTGGCGCTACAAAGTATTAGCGCAAGGGGGATGAATAATATTGCACGCCCCACTTTTCAGTTTTTTATTTGTTAAAAAAGTTTAAATTATCCAATAAATTTCGTTCCACTTCACGATTGTGTCCCACTTGTTGTTGATTCTTGACAAAAAATGTAATTTTTATATATTTAAGTTTGAAGCCTGAAATGTGGCGAACTGTTGAAAGGTTCAAGGGGGCCGAATACTTTCGCAAGGCACTGTATATATATATTATATATTTTTAAATTGATACTTGGCAAAAGCATATCGATAATCGATCGCGTGAAAAAGTATCACGATAGATGATGATGCATCAGTTTTATATAGCGCTTTTTTGGACACTCAGACGCTTCACTTGTCATTCTTTCACTCCAAATACGGTGGTGATAAACTACTACTGTAGCCACAGCTGCCCTGGGGCACACTGAAAGAAGCGAGGCAACCAGTCTGTGCCATCGGCCCCTCCCACCACCACCAACCATTCGCACTTTACAGCCGCCCCACTGTCGCTGGTGTTCCCAGAGGTTAAGTGTCTTGCCAAGGACACAACGACAGCAGGAGTCGATGGTGAAGGTCGGGCTCGAACCCACAACCTTCTGGCTCAAAGGCCAATGCTCTACCAACTGAGCTACTGTCGCCCTATCGATATTATAGATAGATAGAAGAGATTATTACCGTACTTACAGGGTTTGACGCACTTCTCACAGATAGAGCAGTGCTTCCATTCACGTCCATCCTGCAACAATAAAACTAGGACGATTAGTGTTAGAAACACATATCCAAAATTAAAAAGAGGGGAGTTTAGTAGACTGAGTTAAAGTTATTTATGATTTATATGAATTTAGCAAGAGGTGGGTTCATTTATTAGAGTAAAAGTAATTATGTTGTTGCTTTAAAATTAGGCATAACATGCCATGGTCGAAGGGTTGGATAGTAAGAGGTTTCAAATCTACATACTCTGGGAGACAGAATTAAATGCATCCATGGATGACTGTTTTACAGTAAGAACGTATAGATCATATAGACATCTAGATCTAGGTATCATTTGGACACCCCCATGAGACTTCAACAAATCCATAAAGATTCTGTAAAAGCTGTACCTTAGACGGGCACACGTTACATTTGGAGCAGTGTTTGTTCAGGGACCAGACGTATCTTTGGCACAAAGAGCAGAATCTGGGGAGATTTCACAGGAAAAACACATCAGTCAAATACTTGAAATACATATAGACCAAAGTAACAATTAGTTATTACAGTAGTGTAAAGAACAATCAGTAAAGTAAGAGGGGGGTTGGAAGTTCTCTCCTGTCTTCCTCTCTTCCCCCCTCTCCGGTCACAACCCCCCCCCCCCCCCCCCCCTTCCTATGGTCTCTCTCTCTGGCCTCTCTCTCTGGCCTCTCTCTCTCTGGCCTCTCTCTCTCTGGCCACTCTCTCTCTGGCCTCTCTCTCTCTGGCCTCTCTCTCTCTGGCCTCTCTCTCTCTGGCCTCTCTCTCTCTGGCCTCTCTCTCTCTGGCCTCTCTCTCTCTGGCCTCTCTCTCTCTGGCCTCTCTCTCTCTGGCCTCTCTCTGGCCTCTCTCTCTCTGGCCTCTCTCTCTCTGGCCTCTCTCTCTCTGGCCTCTCTCTCTCTGGCCTCTCTCTCTCTGGCCTCTCTCTCTCTGGCCTCTCTCTCTGGCCTCTCTCTCTGGCCTCTCTCTCTCTGGCCTCTCTCTCTCTGGCCTCTCTCTCTGGCCTCTCTCCACTTAATGCTACAATTCCCTGCCGTGATATATTGATCCAGAGTTCTATAATAAGTGCGTGTACCTGTAACCCTCCTCTTTGGGCAGGACCAAGTCTTTGGGGCAGATGTTGGTGAAGAGTCGAACTGGAGACTGCTTTCGGCCGCTCTTCCCGTGTTTGTACAGAGGGTGATTTTCATAGTCCACCTTAAATCAAAACACACACATAACCATAGACTGTAAATATTAATGGACGTTGTCACGCCTATCTCCGCCGTTCAAACAAATGGGCAAAAAAAAGTGCTCTACTGGAGCATGCGTCAGCCGGCGCAAGCTCCAGTCATTTGAACGAGTGACTCAATTCACAGCAAGTAAATTAGACTGGTCAAAAAAAAATTCACTCCCCTCAGCATTGACACACATGTGGAACGGAGCTTTGAGCCAACTTTTGGACCATCCTGTAAAGACGTTTTCGAGAGGAATAAGAATTAGCCAATGCTAACATATATCATTGGCTAATTCTTATTCCGGGTCCACCCCCATCGGCCCGGGGTGGTATTGCAAGCATGTCAGCGCACGTCATTTTGGCCACTTTTGAGCCGGGACCCGCCCCCACAGCACATAACACACATACACAGGTTTACAGAAGAGAACTTTTAATGCTCAAACCTGATAATCCAGCATCTTCAATGAGGGCAGACATTCCACAATACGAGGCTCGAAGAAGTACGGGAAGATCCAGATCATGGGCATCTCCGAAACACTGCCCCCTGTGGGTGTAGGTTGGATTTGTCAGCGGGAACCTACGCATTCAGATGGGCTCTAAAATGTTGCCTTAGATAGTAAAGATTACATAGTAAAAAGGCAGTTGTTTTAAAATTGGTTATTTGTGATAAAATGGAGAAAGAGCAAAAGCAAAAAACAGTTTTGGAGGAATCTGAGAAGAGGTGAGAGAGGACATTAAACTAGGCGTAAGAAAGCAGAGAACCAAGATGAAATTAGACAAAAAACAGGACAAACTAAACTAGAGAAATTTTTCCACTTAAAATTGCCTCCTAAACATCTAATTTATACAGTAACTGTTATGCATTAGCAAAAGGAAATATGAGGCAACACCTTCCATGTTAAAACAGGGCGGGAAAAAGTATCGAGTACCAAAGCTAGTATTGAAATTACCGCAGTTGTCGAACTATAATCCAGCACCTATACGTCTGGTAATATGAACCCTGGAGCCCGTAAAACTATGTATATATTTTCATGTGGTTAGTTCCCAAATCCATCCTCTATCTGCTGTTGATCTCAAGAGCTGATGTTGTAGCACACATTCCTGCTTCAGTGTGTTTATGTGAACAGCAGACAGAGAGAGATCCTATATTCTTCCCACAGTGGGGACATTTCAGAGACTTGAGGAAGTGAAGAGAAATACACACGATTCTATTTAAAAATAGATTGGATTTACCTGACTGCTTTGATCATCACGAGTCAAAACCCCTCATTACTAAACCGTGTCCAGTTCAAACAGTCCTCAATCTGCTTTGTGTTGCTGCACACGCGGTTGGTCAATATGAAATTCTGCGGCTTTTTTATGTCAACTTACTTTCTCTTCAACTTCAGCTGGTGCGAAGTCTACACATGTGCGCTTCATAGTCCAGCAAGTCCTAATTCTAGCTAGTACATTGATAGTAGAATTATATTATCATTTTAATTCATATTTAATGCATTGTCTTTAAACTAACTGTGTTGTCAAAGTTCACTGTGACTGCAAAACCGTTGTCTTTCATGTTTGCATTGTTAACGGATGTCCATAGGTCACATGTTTGGGTTGTGAAGTGACTTTTGGGTTGTCAGCAGGAGATAAGACTGGAAACCTTTTTAGGCTAAAATGGTTTGGGCCATACAGACTAATGGTTTGGGCCATACAGACTAATGGTTTGGGTCATACAGACTAATGGTTTGGGTCATACAGACTAATGGTTTGGGTCATATGGAATCTTTGGAGTGGCAATAATGTAACCGTGATGTAGGTGCGGTTTTGTCTAAATAAATAGGCCTGTGACACAATGGCGTTCAGTGCACGCACGGTCACAGCACCCAAGATCATGTGCCGTGACCATGCATGCGCTCCTTGTTTTGCAAGTAAAAATTATCCTTGTCTGTTGTGTTGTCTTTGTCCAGGTACTGTAGTTTATTTCCAGCTTTAACATACATAAGTGAATGACATTTCTTGAGCATTTCTTGATTAATATGAAAGTACCAGAGGAACCTTATGGCTCCATAAAAAGTTTAGTCTGAACTGTCGAAAAAACATGCAGTGGTATTGAGTATTATAACAACATTTTGGAACTATTTCAAATATATATATATATTTATATATATATTAAAAATATTTCTATATACTTGAATGAATTGTTGTTTCTGGCAGAGTTTTCTACCAACAAAACAAGACCTTTAAACATTCACAATTTGATTATGTGTGATGAGGTTGCAGCTGTTTATGTGTCTTGTTACTTTTGTTATTATGTTTTGTATTATCTGTTATTGTTTTCCCATTGAGCTTTTTCATGTTGTGTGTGTGGATGTTTGAGTATTTGCTATAGGGATCTTAACAAACTCAACTAAAGGTTTTGAGTATAATATTTTTGCATTTTGATGGCACATGTTCAAGTATTGTTAAGTCTCAAACGGCCTCTTGACACACACACACACACACACACAAAAAAAACACTTCATACTCTCACACACACACACAAAAACAAACACTTCATACTCACACACACACACACACACACACAAAAACAAACACTTCATACTCGCCATTCCTTTCCTCTGAATACAATACTTTGCCAATACCAAAAAGTGGTTACCGTAAGAAGGAACTAAAAGACTAATGTTATTACCATTGCTGTGCTGAGCTTCCCACGCCTGCGAGAGGAGAGAGAAGCTATTGGCCAGAGGTTTCACCAGGCCCCCGAACGGAGGGTCTGCCACCATCACCAGCCTCTCCCCCTCGGACTCACAGAGGAAACCCTGGAGGACGTCCCTGGAGGCCTGTGGATATGAAGACACAATGATGGATGTCAGGACCAAAGGCAGTTACAGAAACAGACTTTTCACAGTTTGGACCAGGTTTGAGTTTCCCACATCCACACCAGACCAGTCTTCAAATATTAGTCCATCTGTTAAAGTCTCCTTCCACAATCATGTCAAAACAAATCACCCGATCCATGTTCTTTCACCCACACACCATCGCAAAGATCAAAAACACCCACTACACTGGTACCTCTTTTATCGCAGGGGTGATGTGTTCTAAAAAAATAAGTACAGTTCTTAAAGTAGCAGATGTATGCATGTACAGTACAGTCCATGTTAATGAACACATAACTCCGGATTGTAGCCATGGCTAATTTGCATCCACATGCGCACTCACAAACACACATATTCATTCACCCTGAACTATTTGTTTGTTAGTGTAATGTAAACAGCACTTTGGCACTTTACAGCCGCAGCCGCCCTACTGTGGCCCTGGTGTTCTAGCAGAGCGCCCTGTTAGAACACAGTGTTCCCAGAGGACTCCCATCACAGTCGGCCCTACCCTGCTTAGCTTTAGAGGTCTGACAAGATCTGGCTTTCACCTGCAAATCAAAAGGAAAGTCGACTTGTGTCGACTTTCCTTTGGATTCTATTCAATTATATACGAGAAAAAGCTAAATCATGTGTGGTTTTGGTTCAACAAGGTTCATTTAATCTTTTGGATTCCTCAAGTTCATTCATTTTCAAAAACCGCTGTCTCTTTACAATAAACCAACACAAAAACAAAACACGGAGCCAAAGATGTGCACAGAGGATATTATAGACGTGTACCTTTGCTCCAAACAGATGATGGTTGAACATGTTGTAGTGGCAGAACTCTCTCTGACCGTAGAACTGGGCGTACCTGCAGCACACAGGGACGGGGCGGGGCCGGGCGGGTGAAGTTTTGGCTCGTGTTTAAACTCAACACATAAAACACATTCTTTGAAGAAACTGGAGCACGAAAGGCTTTAAGTGTTTCTGGGAACTGCTGCAGATCGAGTGACAGAAGCTTGTGTTTAATTAAACTCTTTCACTGCCATTTATACTTTATAATTATCAGCTTATGTCTATCTATTACATCATACTCAGCTCAGGATCAAAGAATTTATATTAACAACCAGACGGCTTGATAATTACATGTTTTTCAAACTTATTCAGCTTTATAGATATTAGAAGCAAACAAGAACAATTCTTTTCTAATGTAGGTCGGTCTGAGCGAGAAATCACAATTGAATTCACACTTATTAGAAAGTAGCATTTACAACCTAACTGCTTTGGTATTGAACTTCACAATTTAATATTATGAACACATCAAGGAACTATTTGGAATGGGCGTTGTCTAGTGCCCGTCAATCAATTGATAGAATGCATTGCTAGAAAGTGAGAGAGGGAAAGAGATAGAAAGAGAGAGAGGGGGAAAGAGGGGGAAAGAGGGGGAAAGAGGGGGAAAGAGAGGGGGAGAGAGAGAGATGGCAGAGAGGAAAAGAGAGAGAGAGAGAGAGAGATGGCAGAGAGGAAAGAGAGTGAGTAATTATTTATATGACATCATTTTTAGTATAAAAACAGCTCTGCAACTTTTGGGACTATGGTGAATATCATGACCCAGGCTTCCACAGTGGGCATGGTCTGAAGTGGGGTGTAGCGCCCTCTGCTGGTGGTCAGGGAGTGAACGGTATGACCAGATGGAACACATGTTTGGTCTAGAAATTTAAGGCTCGAATTTAAGTGTTTAAGAATGTAAGAGTTTTTGAGTGGTTCGTTGCAGAGCCAAAGGGTCTAAGGACAGAAATGATGATTATCTTACCATTTTATTATTTTATGATCTATTTTCTAAATGATAGATTCTCTTTGATGTGTAAATAACCTGCCTGCTTTTACTTATTTCATTCAACTGCTTTTGAGATTTAGGGCAAAACAAAAACACATTGAATTTAAATCGAAACAGCAATAGTTTCCCTGAGGAATCTCTATAGAATGAGTTGATGTGTGGGTTTTAAAACATACACAACTGTTGCTAAAGCACCACAATAAAGAAGGGTCCAAAAACAAAACAAGCGACTGACCTGATGTCTATGTCCAGCAGCAGACTCTTCATGGGCTTTTCCTTCGTCTCAAAGTTTCTCAACATTATCAGCTCATGGAGTCTGGAGGCAACAGAGACACACAATTAGAACACAACATATTCAAACAAAACAGACATAAATGAAACATGCTAATGGTGGAGAGGCAGAGAGACAGAGACACAGATAGACTGAGACACCGACAGGAAAGATAGAAAGTGAAAGACAAAGACACAGACAGAGAGAGTCAGAGAAACATAGAAAGTGACAAACAGAAACAGACAGACACAGAAAGGCAAGATACAGAGACAGACAGAGAAAGAGAGAGACAGACACACACACACAGAGACTGTCAGTTTCAGTCAGAGAGAGGCAGAAACAGACCGAGACAGAGACAGACACACACAGACAGAGACACGAAGAGAGATAGACAGAGACATACTGACAGACACACACACAGAGACAGACAGACAGAGAGAGGCAGACAGACACAGACCAAGAGTGGCACACACAGACAAACACACAATGACAGACAACATTAAATCAGTACTAGTCCAGCAGTGTTAGCAACATTACCGCCGTTACCTCGGGGTGCCCACACACAGCACCTTGGTGAAGCCCAGCCTCAGCAGCGTCTCCAGCAGGAAGTGGGCGCTGCGGTCCGTGAACAGGTACTGGGCGTTGCTCTTCTTGTTCTCCAGCGGGGGCAGCAGAGCACTGGGCCTCCGGAGCTGGACACTGGTCACCTCTGAGAGCCTGTGGGAGGAGTGGGCCAACCTCTCCTCTGGCAGCAGCAGCAGCTCACACTCCACACAGAACATCTTCTCGTGGAGCATCAGGCTGGTGAACTTTTTCAGTCTGTCCAAAGCAAAAAGACTAGTTTAGGATCAACCTAGAACAATATATGTGCTTTTCTAACAGCCAGGATGCAATTCCCCCAATCATCAAGTCATTTAGCCTCTCCTTTTGATGTTACAGTGACAATCAGTGACTGAAAGGTACGCCTATACAGAAGGTACATCTATACAGAATCTACATTCTAAAAGAAAATCTATTGTATTCACATCAATGGGGGCATATCAGTACCACCCCGGCCCTGTGGGGGTGGACCCAGAATAAGAATTAGCCAATGCTAATGTATAGTGTCTTTTTTCCTCTCGAAAACGTCTTTACAGGATGGTCCAAAAGTGGCTGTTGGACCAAAACAACGTTCCAGATGCTGTCAATGTTGAGGGGAGTGTATTTGTTTGGACCAGTTTGGTTAAGCCGCTGTGGACTTCAGAATGCACTTGTTAAATAAATGCGTTTTATCACATTTTCCAGCCCCCGCGGCCATTGTGAAACTGCCCATAGACGGCGAAAGTGATGTCACATTAGTTTGAACGGCGGAGATGGGCGTGACTATGTCTATTAATATTCACAGTCGATGGTTCACATTTAGTGCTGGAGTGCAGCGTGACGTCACTCTGCACCTGTGGTATAAACCCATTCAAGTCTCACACGCCCCAGCAGCGAGATGGAGTATTCTGGCGACATCAGTTCTCTTCTACAGAGATAATTCTGTGTCTTAGGTTCAGGCGTCTTAGTTTGTAAACAAAGAAATGAGACTTTCTGGTGTGTAAACTATTGCTTTAAGCAGCAATGAAAACTGTCTGATTTTGTGTGTGAAGTGAATTGTCAGTCACAGCCCAGACCACCCTCTTTTAAGAGACACTTTTCAAATGTCCATGTGGGCGGAGTCACAGGTGTTTGGTCTTCCTGTAAAAAGAATTGATTGGGATTCTGATGTTTTACCTGGCACAGTACTCCTTGTGGGTGAAAGTCGGCATCTTTGATTTATTTTCTTGTTCTCTTGCCAACAGCCGGGCCTCCGACACCTGCCACAAATACAAGAATCCTGCAGTAAAAACAAACCAAAGCTATTCTCTTATTATTACAACTAAAGATCGTACCTTCTCATCCTCCCACTGGAAGAAGTTGCAGTCCTTTCTGTCTCTGCAGGCAGAGCAGGCGTAGAACCTCCGGCCTTTAGCTCCTCCCACACACGCTTTCTCAAACAACAAGGTGGGACCTAGATATGGATGAAAATAATGAAGCTGAGACACTTTGACTTTAATGCTTTTAGTCCCAACAGAAAAAGAATGGTGAAGGTAAAATATTATAAATGATTCAGATCACATCAAGCTGTCTTCAACTTATTAGAACACTAAATATAAACTTAAAAGGTATATAGGAGGATGTTCTACTTCCGGGTGGATCATCAAAACTATTGGTCCTCCCAAATGTCATTCATTCTGGTGATACGTGTTCGTCAAATGAGACCAGAGAGTTTGGTTCAAAAAGTGGAAAGGACAGTTCTTTCCTAAAATGTGGGAGAATCCTGCAATATATCTTTAATTTAGGTATTAATTATTAACTTAGTGGTCCCACAGTGAGGAAATTTCAGTGTTGCATGACCAGTTATAGAACAGTATGAATGAGGAGCACACGGTGGCTGAGTGGATAGCACTCTCGCCTGGGTTCGAATCCCGGTTGGAACAGGCCCTTTCTGAGTGGAGTTTGCATGTTCTCCCCGTGTCTGCGTAGGTTTCCTCCGGGTGCTACGGTTTCCTTACTACTAAAAACATGTACAATAGGTATGAATGTAAAAGAGAGTGAATGGATGTTGTTGATTGGGGCTGATGCAGTGTGTTCGGCGACTCGCTTCCGTCATCGTGTGTGGAATGAATGGAACAAAATCTGAACTCTGAACATTGTAAAGCGCTTTGGGTGAGCTTGATCTGTAAAATGCGCTATTAAACATTACTTACTACTTTCTACTACTAACACACAGCACAAGACAAACAATTTTACCAACATAAAATAAAATCTCTTAGCAAAACTTTATCAAAATAAAGAAGCACTCAGGCACTCAACTGTGTGCAAATAAGCAGGAAATATGCAAACAGTTAAAACAATAGACATATACAAAAGGCGGCAGTGTAACTTATGTGCCATAGAAGTCAAAGATATTTCTTATCTACAATTTCAAAAAGTGACATTGGGCGAAACGTTTAAAGTCCAAGTGAAAAACTGCATGTAGAAGGAGCCCAGAGTGTCACTTTTAGACGCTTCGGACTGCGAGCTGATTGGCATTGAAAGTGTGCGATCATTCATTCCACTTTTCTGTAAAAAAAAACTGATCTCAAAATGTGAGAGACAAAAACGAGTGTTGGAACTGAACTGTTTTGAAAGCGATGGATTTTAGTTAAAGTTTTAATAACAGTTTAATAGTCTGGCTTGAAAGTTAGGGACCCCAGCTTTAAAAAATAGTTTAGTTAAAAAAAAAAATAGTGATAACATTGCATTAGAACACAGGCTAGGTTGGCATAATAACGCAGTAAAGTCTGGGTTTGGATCAGTACCGTGGGGGCAGCTTGGCGCGGGTCGGTCTTGTTCGTGAAGAATAAGTTCTATTCCCAAAGACTCGCAGTTTTCCATGTTTCAAACAGTTTAATAAAGTTATTCCAGAAAAATAAGACTGAAATGACCGCTCTGTCACATAAACATCTGATGCACGCACGCCACGAGAAAACAACTGCACGCTGCTCTGTCGCTGGATTATGAGGTCATCAGTCGCACAGGCATGTGATTGGTCAAGATCCGACAGTGGGGGAAATTTCAGTGTTGCGTCGTAAGTTACGGAACAGTAGGAACGAGAGCACGAGATAAAAAAAGAATATGTATTAAAGTCAATATTCATTTAGGTATAAACTGATTGTTTTAAAAAAATATAACGAGGGGACAGTATTTTAAGTTATGGTGGTTTCGTCAGCTCATGTTTTTAACGCTACATAAACAAACACAGTAAAACACTTTTCATTTTCTATTGCCATTTTCCGCTTTTGAATTAAAAACAAAAATAATGACGCGTTACTTTGTTGTTCATTTTACATATTTCTTTTCATGAACAATAAATGGCTTCGTTTTCTACATTTGGAAAAAGTGCGGAGCAGAAAGCCAGTAGCTTTGGGTGTCCAAAACAGCGCTGTATAAAACCGATGCATTATTATTATTATAAGTGACAATACCAGAAGTAACCACCAGGTGACGCTGCTGTTCGACAAAACAAGCTTGAAGGGTCTGCTACAAAAGAGACGGGAGCCAGATTCAGACTCATGCAGGATTACACAATTTATACATAGGTTATTTTTTTCACCAAATAAACTTTTCTTAATGCACAGAACGGCAGCTTATATTCATTGCAAACCACAGGAGCCAGAAGTAAAAACACCAGGACTATGAACCAATAGCATCCGTCCTGGCCGCAGGGGGGAGGGGCCTATATAGTAAATGTTTTTAGTGGTAGAGTAAACCCTAACCCTACGCGCAGTTAGAACATTAAATTTGTATTTGTCTCTTTCATTTCAACCCATTTCTTCTAAACTCGAACTGAATCACATTTTAACTTTACATTATTTTAGATTTGGAGTAATAACCTATTATGTCATCTATAGTGGGTGGGGGAAACAGGAGCACCCAGAGGAAACCTACAGAGACACGGGGAGAACATGCAAACTACACACAGAGAGGCCTGGAGGTGGAATCGAACCCAGGACCATCTTACTGTGAGGCACAAGCACCAAAAAGCTCAAATATTCTTAAAGACATACAAACACAAGATGCAGATTTGGTTTAGGGGAAAGAAATTTAATCAGAACAAGTTGAGAATACGGAAAACTAGTCTTACAAAGTCAAAAAGGACTATTTAAAACATTTTATTAAAGCTCAGAAATTTGTTTATTGCATTTTTCCACATTCTTTCCCCTGAGTCTAACACTTCATAACAAACTCCAGGAGAGGTTGTGTTCAGAGAGATTTCTCGTCCAAGTCTCTCATGATGTTCTGAACCCAGCTCAGGTTCGGATCCGCACAGAGCGAGATGTTCCTCAGGGTCAACAAACTGAAACATAAAAGAAAGTGAGAAATGTAGTTTGCACCATTTCATGAAATAAATGAAAACATTAAAAACTGAAGGATTTTCTTTCTACAACTGACGGGTTTTTATCTTTACGCTTTTTAATGCAGCGTTTTATGATTCTAATCCCATGTGTGGTTTAAGAAAATTATTTTTATTATGAATTTAATGTCTGTTTTTAAATCATATTTTTTATTGTAAATTTTTTATGTTTATGAAGATTGAATAGTGTTTGTGTAATTTTCTAATGTTGAAAACATGCTATATCTTGTTTTGTAATGTTTGTGTAGATTTCATAGTATTTTCTTTTATCATTTTTATTATGTTTATGTAGATTTTAGAATTTTCTTTACCATATTTTGTAATTTGCAGATTTTATAGTATTTTTTATCATGTTATGTAATTGTGTAGTAATTTTTATATTTTATTTTAATGTTTATGTACATTTTATAGTAATTTTTTAAATCACACTTTGTAATGTGTATAGATTAAATTATTTTAATAATTTATGCCTGGGTTGCGAGGTTCTTTGTGTTGCTTTGTGTGGGAAAGATGCTCTACAAATGAAAAATCAAAAGAAACAAGACATTTAAGAATATATTTATCGCACCAAAGTAAATACGGGACATTCTGGTGCCATTAGATCCGGCTCTATCTCTGAGGAGCACAGGGACTGGTCTTCTGCTGGTGCCCCGAGTCAGGACTAGACCTGGGGAAGCAGCGATCCAAACCTATGCACCTAGAACCTGGAACAGTCTTACCGAAGGTGTGAGACAGGCTGCTACCCCTACATATATCCAAGTCCAACTTCTGTTAAACAAAGCTAAGAGTTTAGAAAAACCAACTCACACGACCCCAGTTCTGGTGCAGCGCTCGTCTGTCTGAGTGTAGCTTTGGATTTTCTCTCGACGGATTCTTCGTGGGTAAAAGTGGAAACAGCAGTCTGCCGGGCCACCAACCCCTGGGGAGGTAAAATATACAATTCAAACCAAGAGAAAAATGACCACAGAAAGGTTCAAATGGTAATGATGCAAAGCTGACGAGAGCAGAGGATGGAGGAGACGAGGAGAGACGCCAGGACACAGAGGAGCACAGAGGTCTTCATGATGTTTGAGGTGAGGGACCAGAGGAGACCAGAGAGACCAGAGACTTGTGGATGAGGTGGTGAGGACCAGAGGAGACCAGAGACTTGTGAGGGACAGCAGAGAGTTCTCATGTGAAGAGGGTGCTGTGGTTTACCTTTGTGACAACAGGAACTGACACCAAGGTTTCTAAGAAGAAAGGTTGTTACACAGAACACCACACACACACTCATAAACACACAATACAACACATACTACAGCCATTAAAAGTCTGCTTATGTGCATTTCCTGTATTATAAAATGTATCTGGGGAGTTTCGGTGCCCCAGGATCTAAATTGACCCAGGGCTGGTCAAGTTTGGAAAAAAAAAAAAAAAATACAGAATTAAAACACTCATGAGCTGAATTTGGAATTGGTATTTTTTTCAATTACTGGTGGGTGTGGAGGGAGGAGAGCACAAGGATTAAAGCTGGGATACCCAACTTTCAAACCCCACACACTCAGACGTTTGTGAACAAATCTAGAAGAAAACTAGAGCTTGATGCGTTATGGTTTTGGCCTCCGAGTCTAAAGGTTGGGGTTTGAGTCCAACACCTCCCACTGATGTCTGCTGTTGTTGTGTTCTTGGGCAAGACACTTCACCCACATTACCTAGAATGAGTCTGGTGTGAGAATGGTGGGAGGGACTGGTTGCCTCACTTCTGTCAGTGTGCCCCAGGGCAGCTGTGGCTCCACCGTGTTTGTTGTGTCTTTGAGTGTCCAGAAAAGCGCTGAATAAAAGCAATGCATTATTACTAGTATACACAATGATTTAAACTTGCCTCTTTATTATAATAAAATTAAAACTCCAACTGTAGCATAGAGTTATTGCTCCTTTATCTTGTTTGCTCCTCATTCCTACCGCTCCAACTGGCGATGCAACACTGAAATTTCCTCGCTGTGGATCGAATAAGTGGATCTTTTAATGTGAATACGCTGTGCCCAGAGTTCTTTGTTTTGTTGTATTAACTACATATAAAACAAAGAACTGTGTGTGTGTGTGTAGGGGATGTGTGTGTGTGTGTGTGTAGGGGATGTGTGAGTGAGTGAGTGTGTAGGTGTGTGTGTGTGAGTGTGTAGGGGTGTGTGTGAGTGTGTAGGGGTGTGTGTGAGTGTGTAGGGGTGTGTGTGTGTGTGTGAGTGTGTAGGGGTGTGTGTGTGTGTGTGTGTGTGTAGGGGTTGTGTGTGTGAGTGAGTGAGTGTGTAGGGGTGTGTGTGTGAGATGAAGGGAGTGTGCGTGTGTCCATGGGAGAAGACAAAATGTAAAATGTTTTGCGCATTCATTTTCTGCTTCATAACCGTTGTCATTTCTGTATGCAGCGCAACACAAAAAACACCAAACAAACAGAAGAAAAGGAATCAGAAGATGAAGCTTGGTATAAGTAGTTTTCTTTATTTTAATAAAACCATTTCTGTACATTTCAAGTGAGACACAAAAGCAGTGGGCCCTGTCTGCTCCGTCTGCGAGGCCGGGACAGACGCGACAAATATTGAAAGCAAAAGCAAACGGCAGCCGCGCTAACAACACGGGAAGGACGTGTGTTGGGGGGGGAGCTGGCCCCCAGAGAAGATTAGCTCAGTCCAGGCGCACAGAGACCATGGAGGCACAGATGTTTGTGCAAACAGCATTATTGCAGTCCTGCGGTGTGTCGCCACAATCGGGATGGGGGGGGGGGGTGCATCGAGAGCTGGTGAGGCCTGACACGTACAAACAGCAAATTCAACCAGGAAGTGGTTTTAAAAAAAACAAACAAACATAAAAACGTGTAGAAATCAATGAGGTCACAGGTCTTGATTTGGTTTAAAGCAGCAGCTGCAAAATGGAACGGGACCACAGCCGCAAAGTGGAACAAGTGTGTTTTTAAATGTAGTATATTCAAACTGATCATCTTTTGTCTGTCTTTAAACCAAGTTGCCGATAGTACACTGCAAAAAGTGACAAAATATAATGTAATAAATGTTGGAATCAAGTGTTTTTCATTATAATTAAAGTACATTATGACTTTCTTCAAACGGCTTGTCTCATTTCAAGTGCTTTAATAATTTATGCCTCATTTCAAGGAAGACATTTCTTGTCTTGTCTTGTATCTTTTTAAAAACAAGACCTTTTTGCTTGTCCGACATTCAAATGCTCTCAAATGAAGATAAAAACACTTGATAAAAGCATTCATTTGACCTTATATGTTTTCATTTTTTCCTGTGGACCCTTCAGTGTAATTCAGCGTGTGTCCGGGACAAACAAAACTGCAAAAATAAACATTCAAATATTCAATGACATCACACTTTTGACCGGCTGTTTAGTCCGTAACGTCGCTGATACTTTAGCTACATCCTGCGGTACAGAAGACGCTTTAAAGTTGCTCAAATCAAACAGTACCTAATCAAATAGAACTTAATTTCATCCTTCATAATTCTGATAAATATTAAATAAGAGACAAAACTTACACCACAAATTAAAACATGAAATGTAACCGTACAATTGCACATGTGAGTCCAGTGAATGCGACTTACAGTAACTATAACAGGGCTCGCTTAGAGTTGACCTGCCCCCAGTTTTCCTGATTTACACAAAAAAAAAAAGGTGTGTTCGCAGAGATCTCGCACGTTTTACAGGGAGTCGTGAAGATCGGAGCGAAACGTGTCATCACTGTAAAAAAATGATCAAATATGAGGTAAAGATTGCTGGAATTGAGCGTTTTTAAATATTATTTTGAGTTCCTTCTGACCGTGCTAAAACCAGATTTTCCAATTAAAACCCATTATTTTCTCATTTTAAAAAAGATGAATTTGCTCATTGCTCCCATTGGCAAATTGTGTTTTAAGGCAGTCAGACTGTGCTCAAATCATGATACATTTTTGCCAATTTTGAGCAATTTGTGACTTATTTTTCATCATTTTCGCAGTGATTGAAAGTGCAGATTTGAGCTGATCTGTGGAGTCTGCGTCCAGCGTCTGGGGGTTGTACATTCTTGGGCTACAGTGTGGGGCAGTGGGGTGGTTGGAGTAAGGCCTCTGGTGCTCTCTCCCCATTGTGGAGGCGTGTGTAGCAGCTGGACCCCCCCTCCAGGACGAGACCGGTCCCAGTGAGGGGGGGGTGGTGAGAGTTACCTGTGCTCCCTGCCGCCTCTCACAGGGAGTGGGAGAGTGTTTGACAGTCTGTGAAATGTGAAAAGTCTCAACGCTTCAACACAGGACTGCTCTTCTCCTGGTCCTTCTGCAACGTCTGCAGCACCTGGAGAGACACAGGGGAACGTTACCACCTTTGGGGAAAGAGTGGGGGAAACTCAGTATATTCTTGGGTTTCATGACGTCAGGGCAGTGGCGCGAATAACAAACGTAGGACAGGACGTGACGTATCCTGGCGGTGCAGTCTGCCGGGTTCATACACAGAGATATAGTAGAAGAAGCAGCGCTGTCAAATTGCCATCTTTTTGTGCGGTGTACGCTTGTAGCAACCGCACAAATAGAGAGAAAGACAAAAGTTTCTTCCGTGTTCCAACTGTGGTCTCATATAAAGGAGTACACTTTGAAAAAATCACTCGAATGAGGCGGGCGAGGTGGATCAAGGTTTTCCCAGATAAGCGCCCCCTGCAGGCCACCCCAATGAAATACAGCATTTTTTTGTTTTTTCCAAAAATGCCCAAAATCTTTTTTAGTACCCCCTCAGAATTGAGTGTCCCTGATTAAGACTGTCACAACAACCGTACACCGCACAGGATGAGAGCCTTTTGACTCCAAAACAGACTTTACATGGTTTTCAATGGGAGCAAAACTGAGTTGTCCCACCTCTGCTCATTCGCCCCCTACAGGCCAGGTTCATGAAACCTAAGTCATGGTGAAGTCATGGGAAAGTTTAATACAGAAAAAACTGAGGAAAAATAAGTAACAAATGGTTCAAATTTGGCTAAATGTATCTTAATTTCAGCACTTTTTGACTGCCTTAACACAAGATTTGCCAATGGTTCAAGCAAATGATATTTTTTTGAAAACATACAAAAAATGTCTCCCTTCTTGAAATAAGACTAAATGGCTTTGTCCCATCGGCAAATCTTGGCATGTTATATATTGCTTTGAAGATAATTTAATAAAACAGGAACAAACAGACTCTCAGTAGGGGCTGCACTGACTGTAAAGTTTGTCCATGGGTGATAGAAACACGAGAGATTGTGGCATAAAAACTCAATGTTCGTGTTGAGAGCGAGTCGCCACAAACTTTTCTACTCTCGATCGGCAGAACCACAAACAGGAAACACACTGTCACTTCACAACACAATACACTACACAATATTTTCAATCATTATGACCCGAAGACCTTGTAAATGGTGGTAATTGGGATTGCTGATTGGGTTGAGAAAGTCAATTCTTGGGTTTCCTTGTGTCAGTGAAATCATGAGGTTTGGAGCAGATTAGACTGAAATGAAGACAAATGGCCAAAATGCTAAAAAACAAAAAATACTGCAAGAAATGAGGGTTGTTCATTATGTACATTGGGAATAGTCAACCATAATAAGAGACGGTATTGTAGCTCTGTGAATGGAACTCATTTCAACCACTTTTACACGTGATCTTGTCCTTTGGTTGATTAAAGAATGTGTTTTTTTAATCATTGTATTTCTGCCATTCACTAGCCACATTATTACTGCCTTATTACATATCCATCCATCTGATATTTCTGCCATTCACTGGTCACTTTACCTGTTGTTATAACTCATTAACTCATTCTCTGCTGCTAAAGTACAATATACACATCTGTAAATACTTATGAGCCAGGTGCAATTATAGCTCCAACGTTATTTTTTTTCCATTTTACCACTGTTTGATTATTTGAATTCTATTGTCTTTTATCTTAAATAATAGACTGCTGTGTGCGTCTGAGTCTTATTTCCTTCTTTCTCGGCTGTAAAGTGCGACGATGACACTGACATTTCTCTGATCTGTGTTGGGGAATTCAGTTTGGTAAAGTCCTCTGAGATAACCGTTGTGATTTAGGGCAGTACAAGAATACATTGAATTGAATTGAATAGAGAATTGTAATAAAACTAGAGCGGCCCTTCACCAAAATAATCAATGTTTTTTTTGTGAGTGAGTTGTGGTTTTAGAGAAAAATAACTGATTGTCTCAACAGAAAGACAGACAGAGAGAGACAGAGAGAGAGAGAGACAGAGACAGAGACAGAGACAGACACATAGAAAGACAGAGCGGCCCTTGACCAAAACAGAAAGACAGAAAGAGGGAGAGTGAGTGATTTTTATTCATATAGTGCCTTTCACAGACCAGAGTCAAAGTGGATTACAATGTCTCTCACTTCACACAGAGATGGGAGTGGGGCCAGTCCAGGAGGCACAGACCTACTGTACATGTTTTTAGTGGTAGGAGAAACCGGAGCACCCGGAGGAAACCTACGCAGACACGGGGAGAACATGCAAACTCCACTCAGAAAGGCCCTGTTCCAACTGGGATTCAAACCAAAGACCTTCTTGCTGAAAAGCGAGAATGCTAACCACTTAGCCACTGTGCCGCCCAATGGTCTCTGTCTCCCCAGATGGAGACAGGGAGACACACAGACAGAGAGAGAGACAGACACATTGAAAGACGGAGACAGAGCGGCCCTTCACCAAAAAGATCAATGTATTTTGTGAGCGAGTTGTGGTTTTAGAGAAAGATTGTCCTAACATAGCTTTAAAACCTGCTGCTGGTGCTTTACCTGTGTCCACTTGCGGTTGCGGCTGGTCATGTGCACGTTGGCAATGTGCTGGAAGAGCTGCTCGGCGGGGAGCAGGTCCGGGAGCCGCGTGAGGAACTGTGCCATGTGGATGAAGTCCATGGAGGTCAGCACGTCCTGGTACAGCCGCAGCAGCCCCAGCGCCGTCCGGAACAGGAACTCCTCGCCGTCTCTGCAGAACACGTCCCATACGCGGCACGCCAGGTCCAGAGGGAGGGGCTTACTGTACAGCGTGAAGATCCTGGGTTTGACCAGAGACACAACGAGGTTAGATTCTTGGAAGTAGAATAAGAAAGAAAGTAAGTAAGTAATCTTTATTTATATAGCGCCTTTCTCAGACCAGAGTCACAAAGAGGTTTATAATTGTGGGCATTTGTCTCTCACTCCACACAGAGATGGGAACGGGCCAGTACAGGAGGCACAGACCTATTGTACATGTTTTTAGAGGTAGGGGAAACCGGAGTACCCGGAGGAAACGTACGCAGACACAGGGCAAACATGCAAACTCCACTCAGAAAGGCCCTGTTCCGATCAGGATTCAAACCAAGGACCTTCTTGCTGAGAACCGAGAGTGCTAACCACTCATATTTTTATGGTTAAATGCGTTTGAAAATATAATTATATATAATGGCTGTCTGTATTCATTAATAATGACCTGCACATGTTCGAAGGCATCTTACAATTGTCTGGCGTAAAAAAAGAAAAAAAACTAAAAGTTGCAATAAGTTATCAGTTTTATTCTCAAAATAATCCATCAATTTTCTTCCCCTTAATCCATTTCTAGGTCAAATGGTGTAAAGGCCGTTTTATTAAGAGAATGCTAATTGTAAGTTAATTATTTTGTATTGGTGAGCACTTTTTTGTGTGATTGGGTGGGGTCAGGTAAAGTGCAGTTCCTTTCAATGACAGTAGGGGGAACCTGTGAGTGTAAAGTGGAAGCTGACCTGGGTTTAGGCTCAACTGTTTTTTCACTGTGCTATTTTGTGGAAAACTGCCTTGAATGTGGAATGGAAACGGTTTTTGGAGCCATGAAACTTGTCAATCAATCAATCAATCAAAGTTTATTTGTATAGCACTTTACAACAACACCAGGAGGACCAAAGTGCTTCACAGAGAGATTAAAACAATTTAAAACACAAAATGAAAACAACCAAGACACAATTCAGTGTGCCCTAAGTATTAAAAGCAAGTTTAAAAAGATGAGTCTTTAATCTGGACTTAAAAAGGGACAGGTCCGTGAGAACACGCAGACTGAGTGGCAAGCTGTTCCACAGTTTAGGCGCTGCAACCCTGAAGGAACGTTCGCCCCACTGTTTGTAGTGGGACCTGGGCACATCCAGAACCATTTGATTGGCAGACCGGAGAGCTCTGCTGGGGCGATGTACGGTCAACAACTCAGTTAAATATAACGGAGCGAGACCATGAAGAGCTTTAAAAACAAGCATTAACATTTTAAAATCAATCCGAAAACGGACCGGGAGCCAGTGCAGGGAGGAGAGGGCAGGAGTGATGTGGCTGTATCTAGATGAACCGGTGAGAAGACGGGCTGCTGCAGAATGGCACAATGAAACTTGTGCCACGTCAGCAAGTCTGGACATTCCAAATGTTTATTTATTAAGCTAAAGCTCTAGCCCGGGCTGCTCACAACAATTGCCACAATAGGGGGTGGCAAAATAATTGAAACAAAGATTGAATAGGTAGCTAGCTCATGTTGCTGTATTTTTCTGTTTCTTTTAAAAGTCCAACATGAGATGAAAAAGGATAAGCCCCGTGAAGGTTTCTTAGAACTCTCCATGATGTCAGACGATGCCCAGAGGAGTGGGAAGAACATGAAACTGAAACTACAGTCTCCCTGTGTAAGAAACTCTTCTATGGTTTAATAAGAGCAAAGTTTAACAAAGGACTCACTCACCAATCGATCAGATAAATATCTGGGGTCAAGCTGTTTTTCTTGAAATGTGCAAAAAGCTTTGGTAGGTTTTCTTCAAAGAACACTTCAAATGCTGCAAAGTAGGTCAACATCTAGAGAGAGAGACAGACAGGTAGGTTTCAGTGGCTTGTTACAGAGACAGACAGAGACAGAGACAGAGAGAGAGAGAGAGAGAGAATGAAAGATAGAGGTGGGTTTCAGTGACTTTTAAAAGAGAGAGAGAGAGACAGGTGGGTTTCAGTGACTTTTAAAGAGACAGACGGGCAGAGAGAGAGGGACAAACAAAGAAAGACAGAGCGAGAGAGCAACAGACACAGAGAGAGGGAGAGACAGACAGACAGACAGACAGAGACAGAGAGAAAGAGAGAAAGAGACAGACAGACAGAAGAGAGAGGGACAAGAGGGGTGAGGGAGTCAGAGAGTCAACTTTTACAGAGACAGAGACAAAGAGAGAGACACACAGGCAGAGACAGACACACACACTCAGAGAGAGACACACACTCAAGAGACACAGAGAGAGAGAGAGAGAGAGAGACAAACACACTCAGAGACACACAGGCAGAGACAGAGAGAGAGAAGCTGAGGCACTGACAAGGCTGTGGTCCACTCTGAAGAAGGCCATCTGACACGGCTTGTTGAGCAGATTTGCAAAAGCGATGAAGGTGTCGGCCGTGTCCAGGTTCAGGATGAGCACAGCGGCGATGAACGACATGCCCTGCACCTACATCACACACACAGGACACACAGAACCACACAGGTCACACAATCTGTCTGTGTACACTTCAAAGACAACTGTTTAACATAACTGCAGCTGCCTCCATTATATGTTTAAAAGATCAGGACTAAAGCACAGCAGCGAGACACTGTTCAAGCTTCTGTGAAGAGTCCTACAGAGAAGACCCCAGGCTGCAGCCGGACACATTAGTCTTCACTCTCTCCCCACTCATTCATCCTCTCCCTCTTCTCTTTCCCTCTCCTCCACCTCTCTCAATCCCCTCTCCCCTTTCTCTCTCCTCCACCTCTCTTCTTTCTCTCTCCTCTCCCCTTTTTTCTCCTCCAGCCCCTCTCCACCATTACCTCTCCCCCTTCTCTCCACTTTCTCTCTCCTCCATCACCTCTCCCCTTTCTCTCTCCTCCATCACCTCTCTCCCCTTTCTCTCCTCTCTCGAACCCACGACCTTCAGGCTCAAAGGCCTATGCTCAACAGACTGAGCCACTGTCGTTCCCACACCACCTCTCTTCCCCCTCTCCCTTCTCCCCTATCCCATACTCTACTCTCTACTCTCTCACCACCTACTCTCTCCTCCCTCCTGTCAGTAAAGAAGCAGCACTGTGAGAGACTTACGTAGCCCACGTCTGGCCTGTAACAGGTGTAAGCTCCCAGAATGCTGTGCAGCACGTCGTGGTAGGGCCCGCCCTGAACAGAAGAGTCACACATAGAAACACAGACAGTTTCAAGACAAATTCTGAAAGAGCAAATCTATTTTTGTATTTTAAATAACGCAAATTTCACCACAGATGCCGACCCTCCTTTCTGAAGCCAACACTACACTCATTTCTCACCTGCTGAAATATACACAGCTGTGGGAACGTTCTGGAAATGTCCAACTTGATCAGCTCCAGACTGGACTCTCGGTCTGATGAACCCGCATCTGCAAAACACACAGCCAGCCTCACTATTTGACAAAACTCTATGCAGTTTTTATTTGATGCAATTTTTGTTGCATGAGAATACAGTAAGCTGCAGTAGATTTAAAACACTGACGCTAGAGTCCAGACTACAACCATGAAGTACCATCACATTAGTCCAGACTAGAACCAGGAAGTACCATCACATTAGTCCAGACTAGAACCAGAAAGTACCATCACATTAGTCCAGAATAGAACCAGGAAGTGCCTGCACATTAGTCCAGACAAGAAACAGAAAGTATCAAATTCGTCCAGTTCTCAGGGATCAGAGAAAAGATTTTGAAGCAGCTCTGTTACTCTCTCCATGGCCTTGTACCAAAGTACATTCTGGGACATGTTAGTGCCATATGAACAAACTCTGAGGAGCACAGGGACTGGCCTCACAGGGATTTATACTTGACATGTCGTTATTCATTCACTCCATACACGGGGGATAAACTACAGCTGCCCTGGGGCACACTGACAGAAGCGAGGCAACCAGTATGTGCCATCGGCCCCTCCCACCACCACCAACCACTCACACACACACCAGACACATTCTAGGCAATCGGGGTAGGAGTCTTGCCCAAGGACACAACAACAGCACACATCAGTGGGAGTCGCTGGAGAATGTCTTGAGGTGGGCTCGAACCCACAGGCTCAAAGGCCAAAGCTCTTCCAACTGAGCCACTGTCACCTTACCTATGCTGCCATCTATCAGTTGTTTTCACTCTTTTTAAAACGCACTGTGATTGTTTATGTTTATTTTAACGCCTCGTGTCTATGAACTATGCTATACAAATAAACTTGCCAGATACTGTACATACCATCGGTCCCATTCTCTGGCACAGGCGCTGGGGAGCTCCTCCACTTCTCTTTGGCCCGAGACAGACAGATATGAAACAGCTCTGTGCACAAAGAGAAGGCAGCGGACATCAACATTTATTCTTACAGATCACTACAAGTCTATTTCTCTCCACCGCAGACTTGTGTTGTGATTGTGTCTAATCTCTGCTGCCCTCTGCTGGTCAAAGAGTGATACTGAGAGATATATTAGTCACATGGGTCTTGTCCCAGTACAAACATCCAGGCTCTGAGGAGCAGAATGTGCAGAGGTTGAAGACAGTTCTTAGTGACTGCAGAAGAGAAAACACTGCCCCCAGGCTGCAAAAAAAAACCACCATTAATCTTTTTTCTCTTTTCTCTTTTTTATACTTTCTCTCATCCTCCCCCCCTCCCTCTTCAAGTTCTCACCCTCTCTTCATTTCTCCCATGTCCCCTCACTCTCCTCTCCCTCTCTTCTCCTCTTTCCTGTCTCCTTTCCCTCTCCTCTCTTCTTTCCCCTGTCCCCCCTCTTCTTTCTCCCCCCTCTCCGCTCCCCTGTGCAGCAGTCAAAACCACTGGAGCGTGTTGCTTGTAATGGGAGAGCTCCTCCTCCGCTGAATCTAACAGGACGTCAGACAAACTGCTGCATCAGACGCTCTGAGCTGTGACCTTTAACACCGGTGAGAACAGGAGCAGTTTCACACAGAGAAGAACGGAGAAAAAGTCATTGTGATTGTCGATCATTGGACATTAGTCTAACCCACGTGTTCAGATGTAGTTAAATAAAATGCATACAGATGGTTGTTTAGACATTGCAGGTTCTTGGAGCTTCATAAACACACGTGATGAGTTGTTACCGTGGGTGATGTTGAGGTCGTTGCCCACAGCGAGGCTCCACACTTTTCCTCGGACACTGGGGGGGATCCCCTGCCACCACAGGTCCCTGACCCGCCGAGATGTGCACCTGCACAGCACACAGTGGTTATCAGACAGAAGGGTGTCTCTCTGTGGGTCTTTGTCGCTCTGTGGGGGTTTCTGGGGAGGTCTTTCCGTCTCCCCTCTCTCTGGGTCCCTCTCTCTCTCTATGGGTCCCCCTCTCTCTCTATGGGTCCCCCTCTCTTCATGGGTCCCTGTGAGTCTTACAGTGTGCTCCAGTTGGGCAGGATCTCCTGGGTCCAGGTCTGAGCCGCGCTACCGATGCTCTCCTCCAGTTTGCAGCGCTCCTCCAGCTGCTTCCGCCTCTTCTGCGCCTCCTTCAGCTCTATCATGGAGTGTGAGGAAAACCATCAGAGAGAAGTTTACAAAAAGTTATAAAGGGCATTAAAACATCAAAAATCCACAACATGATCCACCCACTCTGACGTGAGTAACTAATGGTAAAACAAACAATTTAGTCCTCTATTAAAGTCAATATGAGGCGTTTCTAGGAACCTTTGTAAACAAGCCCATCATTTGACTTTTGACTCTTTTGGTTTCTCTTAATATTTAAAGAATCCTGATTAAAAACACCGACCTCTCTTCTTGGCCTGAGCCACCATCTCCTCATACTGCTGTCTGTGTTTCTGCGCCTCCTCTGCTGGTTTGGCTGGCAAGTTACTGAAACACAAAATATTCACATTTACTGAGAGTCCTGGGTCTACAGCCTCGGTGGTCCTGGGTCTACAGCCTCGGCCCTTGTGTTTGTCTCTCTCTGCGTGCGTCGGTGTGCGCTAATTGTACGCTGGTCTGTCCTCCAGGATCAGGGCCTGTGTGTGTGTGTGTGTCTGTGTGTGTGTGTGCGTACGCTGGTCTGTCCTCCAGGATCAGGGCCGTGGTGGAGAGAGGCTCAAAGTCCAGGTTCTTCCTCACGCTCTGATGAGGAGAAGTGGGGTTGCTCGCTCCAGCTCTGCCGCTCTTCGTTTCATATTCCTGTGGACACAAAACGGCAACACAACTTTTAAAACCAGATTCTTCTGTGGATACAATGGGCCTCATTCACGAATAACTACGTAAGAAACTACTCAACTTTCTTCTCAAGTTGTCCTTAAGTAGATTTCTAGGAAGTCCCCACGTGGGATTCATCAACGCACTCGTAAGCCGCTGAATTGTTCGCAGCTGTTCTCTCAGATTGATGAATCCCATTTCCTCGTAAGTACAGCGCGCGTGCCAGGTGCTTCATTACCATAGGTACTTAGCATAAGTAACCGCCCATTAATGCCCATAAGGGACTGCAGGGCCGTGTGCAGACGCCAGAGGAAACAGCAACAGGCCTAAAGCAGGCTTTTGCCAGACTGAGAATAAAGTTATAAAATGTTGACTTAAAAGTCGAAATATTATGATAATAAAGTCGAACTAGCAAAATTATGAGATTAATCTAAGAATATGATGAGATTAATCTCAAAATGTTATGATCTTAATTTAAAAATATATTATGTATTATTTTAAAGATGAATCTCAAAATGTTTTGAGATTAATCTCAAAATATTTTGGACCCTGGGAGGAGATCCAGCGCGGACCAGCGCTGAGACCAATGCAGACCCGAGGAGAGACTGGAGTGACCAGCATACAGAAACCAGCGCGGACCTATAGGAGAGACCGCATAGACTGGAGTGACCTGACTGGAGAGACCGGTGCGCAGAGACCAGCGCGGACCGAAGATAGACCGCATAGACCAGACTTGAGAGACCAGCGCGGACCCGTAGGATCCAGGAGCATGCAGCACGGACCCGTATGGAGAGACCAGTGCAGACCCGTATATGGGAGAGACCAGCGCAGACCCGTATAGATCCATGGGAGAGACCAGTGCAGACCCGTATAGATCCATGGGAGAGACCAGTGCAGACCCGTATAGATCCATGGGAGAGACCAGCGCAGACCCGTATAGATCCATGGGAGAGACCAGTGCAGACCCGTATAGATCCATGGGAGAGACCAGTGCAGACCCGTATAGATCCATGGGAGACACCAGCGCAGACCCGTATAGATCCATGGGAGAGACCAGTGCAGACCCGTATAGATCCATAGGATAGACCAGCGCAGAGACTCAGCGCGGACCCAGTAACCTCCTGCAGCAGCAGTATATATGCCGTTGTTCTGTGGCCCGTGAATAAAGAAATGCCCCCTATAAATAGGAAGGGGTCACTAATACACGGCAAGATTTCCAATGTATTTGATAAAGCGTTGGCACATTTCATTTCAAAATGAATTAAAAAGTAGGCCAGATCTGCAGTGAAAAAGGCGGTATATAAATAAAGATTACTAATAAAGATTACTACAAATAAATAAATACATACATCGATATGACGGACATATCACTGGAATGTTGTATTTTTATTCAACTTCACCAAAGAGGACAACCCCGGCGTGTGAACATGTCGGCACTGAATGCGTACGAGTGCTCCTGAGGACTCGTAGGATTTGTACTTGCCCAAGACAAATTCTGGTTACGAGAAATATTCGTGAATGCCACTTTCTTCGTAAAAACCGCGTAAGTAGGATTTACGTACAAATCTGTTCCTAAGAACCGTTCGTGAATGAGGCCCAATGTCCCTAGTCGTCAAAATCACATTAATGTTGCAATCGAAGAACACACAAGCAGGACTTTAGCAAATGTTTAGCAAAGTTTTAGATGTTTTCTTGTATATGATTTAGTAACTGTTTGGTTCTCTGAGCTGTAGTTGAAGTATCCGCTTTGAAAAGTCCTCAAAAGACAATACACATTGATGACACCTGAATTTCTCCTACGGGGATCAATAAAGTATATACTGAAGCACTAAGAAAAACAACAAGTTCGACCAAAGTGCTGTACATAAAAAGACAAACTCTCTCTCTCAAATAGATACTAGTAGAAAATACAAAGCAGTGGCAAAAAACAATATTTACACCAAATAATAAATACAATATCAATTAAAATGTGATGTGTATGTGACAAACAATAACCTAAACTAGCTAAACTTGTACCCAGTTTTTGACCATGGATTCAGATTCAGAAAACTTTATTGATCCCAAAGAGCAATTCATTTGCAGCATAAACTCAAAGCAGAACACACATACTCTACACCAGGGGTCTCCAACCTTTTTCAATCGAGAGCTACAGAAGAGGCAGAGAGCTACTCCTTTTTGCAGTTATAATAAAAATCGATCTAATAATTACGAGTAAACATGGAAAACAGATGTAAAACATACCATGAAACCTATACTTATGATAGATGTGTAATGGCTCAAAATGTATTCATTCAAGATCATTTGTTAAATTCTAAATCCTTTGGCGAGCTACTGGGAGCTCCTGAGCCACAGGTTGGAGATGCTCTACGCAAACACACAGTGAGTCTCACAGTTCACACAGCAGCAGGTTACAGAGTAACCACATTGCTGCGAAACTGAGAAGGTGACAGACCTGATAAAAGTTCATAAAAACGACAAACACTCTCTGCTCGAGGTAGCTACGCGGGTCACACATGTAGTGAACCCGGAAGTGGGATCAGAAAGCATGATCCAACCATATCCCATGATGCAGCAGTGCACATCCATATCCCATGATGCAGCAGTGTACTTAGCCCTGCGGTGACACCACTCCCATGCTTTGGCATTTGGCGGCTCTGGTCTAATGAGAGAGTGTTCGGTGCGATGTGGCCTCGGAACGACTCGAGGGACGGAGGTGACGGAGGTTAAGGACCTCACAGCAACCGGGTCCTCTGCAGGCGACTCCAGAAAATACAAAGCTCCAAAATCTATAACTGTCACCAAAACTAAATCTAGAGAGTTGCGTGTGAAAAATGGGTACAATTAAAGCTGGAGCTGGACTAAAAGATCTTTGAATCCTGAGACCTCGGAAAGCATCGCAGCAAAATGACTGCAAATGGCAAATAAAATTGATACAATTTTTATTTTGTTAGCACATCCTGTTTATATTCATCATTTTACCAATTTCTCTTTGATTTTTGTTTAAAAAAATAAAATGAAACAAGCATGTAATAGTACACATTTATACACATTTAAAGTGATTGTCTGCAGTTTGTCAGAAAGAGATAGAGAGGTGCTTGATTTGAAAAAAACCACGCAAGCTCCTTCCCCCTTCCTTTCTGATTGGTCTACACCTACGTTTCCGTAACACATTTAAATGTCAAATAGCGAACACATTATACATATACATTATTAATACACATGCACGGAGGTTCAGAATTATTTGTTAACGTTTTCATGAAAAAAATTATGTTTTAATGCACACAAAAACGACTGCGGCAAACCCGGAAGAAGCTATTATCATTAATTGCACATTATAAGACACACCTGCAGAGGATCTGATTATGGATACATGTTTAGTAGATAAATGGGTAACTCAGCGCAGATGTTCAGAATTCTTTGTTCAGTTTTCATGTAGTTCCAGAGCCTAATGGAGGCTTGATTCGGAGGCTCCGTGAAAACAAACAACTGAGCATGAGCAGCTACGAGCATCAGCGCTGATGATTGACAGCCCTTGGCACGACTCGATTGGTTAACGTGGACGGCATTAACAATGGCCTGCTCACAAGTCTGTCCAAACAGGCTGTAAAACAGCTGCAGTACATTCAAAATGCAGCAGCTTGAGTCCTGACTAGAACCAGGAAGTATGACCACATTAGTCCAGTTCTCAGGTCCCTGCACTGGCTTCTTGTGGCTCAGAGAATAGACTTTAAAACAGCTCTGCTTGTGTACAAGTCTCTCCATGGCCTCGCACCAAAATATATTAGTGACATGTTAGTACCATATGAACCAGCCCGGACTCTGAGGAGCACAGGGACTGGACTCCTGTTAGTGCCCAGAGTCAGAACTAAACATGGGGAGGCTGCTTTTCAGATTCATGCTGCTAAAATCTGGAACAATCTTCCTGAAGATGTGAGACAGGCCTCCTCTCTGACAATGTTTAAAACCAGGTTAAAAACAGTTCTGTTTAGCTGTGCATACAACTGAGGGATTTTATATTTTTATCTTTCTTTTTAATGTTCTGTGATTATTTATGATTTTAATGCTTTCTTGTTTTGTACAGCACTTTGAGTTGCCTTGTGTATGAATTGTGCTGTACAAATAAACTTGCCTTGCCATGCCATTGTGGATTCTGAGCTATAGCTAAGAGCAGGGAAGGCGGGACTTAACTGTAATATTAGAATTAATAAAATGACTTATTTTATATCAACATTTAAGGCCAGGAGGTCAATTTACTACAATTCTTGAAATTTGTAATTAATTTAGGAGTTACACACTATAACTTTAAGGCATTAAACAATGAATTACCGTGAATCGTATTTTCTTAAAAACAGAAAAAACAAAAAACAAGGACCTTTTAACCATTTCCGCCTCAGCCCAAATGTTATACATTAGAGTAAAAACAAAATCAATTAAAGCCGCAAGCGGCGTCAAACCGCGCGCACCACCCCGCACTACGCCGCACCACACTGTCCCACGCACCACCGTGCAAAGGAGGTGGGGCCGCCGTGTGATGATTTGTTGCTGTTGCCATAGAAGATCGTTAGTCAAATTGTGATTAATATGATTAGAGCTGTTTGGCACCCCATGTAAAACTTTGCCTCAATCTTTAGGGGGCGCCAATGGGCCAATCTCAAATATTTCACTTTCACCTGACCTAAACCATGGAGTTGAACATTGGATTCAAGTTATGTGCAAAGCAGACTTTGTTTGTGCAAACGGGAGCAAAATAAATGTGGAAAAACGGCCAATAAACACTCACATTTTGCCGCTCCGCTGCTCAAACAACGTTTCACTGATCAAAAATCCCTAAGGTCATTTTGAAGGTACATGTGTTGAGATGACGTGGAGTGATTTTGAGGCAAATCGGTGAAACGGCCAAGGAGAAGATTTCCAACCGACATGTATGAAAATGATTGCCGTTCATTTTTCCATTTTGCAGTGAAATTTATGGGCTTCCTGTTTGT